TATGTATTTATAACGTCTCTGATGATGCTTGTTTTGTGCACCTTTATATTTATCTCTGCATCATCCAAAGGTTTGGCTGTCAGAGAATGCCCATGGCATTAAGCCCACCTTTGTACATTTGTTTTGTGCATAAAGATATTAAATAAATAAATAAATAAATACATATTTTCTTAAAACTTTTGTAAGAGTAAATTACAATAGCAGGCAGATATCTAGCGCAATGAGGTAGCGGTCTGAGTAGGCCAGGAGAAGGAACGGTGGGTTTTTAATCAGACAGACTCTGACAATCGGTCTCGTCTCACCCTTAGCGATCAAATAACTTCTATTTGAAGATTTCACCGCCTCAAAAAAACCTAAACAATGTGATATTTTCCTAGCAAATTAAGTCAAAATTGAATTACTTATTAGCATTAAAGCTAGATTGTAATTTTTATGATCTATGAGGTCACATCACATATAAAAAAAAGACTTTTTTCAATTTATGTAAAATTAAAATTATTTATTTTATTTTTATTTATTTATTTAACTAGATTTACATATTGGCTTAGCGCGCATTTTCGCACGCTAAGCTTCACCCGCGTAGTCTGTTGATAAAATGTAGTCTAAGTATATGTTAGTGCCAGATTTCATCCAGATCCGTCTTGCCGTTTTGGCGTCATCGAGTAACAAACATCCAAACATCGTAACTTTCTCATTTATAAAATAAGTAAGATTTATTTCATTTTTTACTTACGGTAATGTATTTTTTATCTAATAATGTATTCTTCTGTATACTTCACTGTGTACACACGCTCCCGAAGTAAACTCCAAGCAATTAAAATTCCTCGCCCAGTAAGTGTTTAAGCAATATAACAGCATGGCGTCATCATAGGAAATGCATACAAGACATTATCATCTTAAAAGTCTTCCGCCGCTTCATACATTTTAATGTAACCGTTGTATTAAAATACCATTATATCTCTTTTTGGTTGAATGATGATTAACTTAATTAGGTAATAATATCCCTTACTTACTTTAAGTGCTACTTAAGAAAAAATATTTAAGTATATAAATTTCTTACTAAAAAATATTTAGACTTAGCACGAACAAATTAATAGCTATAATTTTAATTAAAATAATAATTTTAATAGATAAATGTTTTGTTTTACTTTGCTGAAGACTGCATTCAAGTAAAGGAAGAAATTATTTTGTGTGTGATAAAATATAATCAATAATAAATTATAATCCAGTTATAGATTTTATTGTAAATATTATTTATAAATGAGACGAGAAAGCTACAGTGCTTACAGTACACAGTTATTTTGAAAATATATTTAATGTACAGAATTGACCTCTCTACAGATTTATTACCTATAAGTAAAGATAGATGAGGCGAGACAGTTACAAAGTTTGCCCTCCGTCCCGCCTAGTGATAAGCTACAATGGGCTTTACGATGTGCGTGATATATGTGCAATCAAAAGATGGTGATGATGATGATGATGATGATGATGACGATACATGTTCAATATAGGTCAATATTTGTGAATTGCTATATATCAATGGAAAATATTATTAGCGTAAAAACCAGGTAACGTCCTCAACAACCACAATATTTATTCGAAGATGTCACCATAGCATCACGGGAAAATCAGTCGTGACATTATGTGATCATGAGTGGAATACCATTTATCACACCAGCAACTATTATATCATTAGATCACCTGACCTGATAAAATCTAACGTAATTAAGGAAATCACAGAACACAATCTCTCTCAATGTGTAATAAACAAAAAACCAAAAAAGCCAAATTATTTAACTACTATAATTTTGCTACAAACAGTCCAATATATGTTGAGCTCCCCCGCCCCTCTTTCCGCTACCACGTCTGACTAAAGACAGGAAAAGCGTACAGTTGCAACAGGTCACAGAAAAATGGTTAATTAATTGGTGTATCAGTGATCGTAGTGGCACGTAGTACCGGCGCTTACGCAACGTATAAAAAGGCAATAGTGTCCAAACAAACGCAACAGGCCATTGTCCCATCACCATAGTCTCTGCGTATCTCCCTCCACCACCCACCTCATCCTCTGAGGCCTTGGAGATCAACAACGCACTAAGAGACGATTTATCAGCTCTCTTCGGCTTGAGCGACTCCGTCATCCTGGCGGGTGACCTCAACGCCAAGCATCCCGCATGGAACAGTCACACTGCAAGCCCCCGCGGCAAAGTAGTGTTTGACCTTTGCTCGACACTGTCTTTCGATGTCATCGCTCCGATGCATCCCACTCATTACCCGCTAAACCCCGATCACCGGCCGGACGTGCTAGATGTCGCCCTTCTCAGAAATGTAAACCTGCGTTTACACTCTGTGGAGGCGATCGACGAGCTCGACTCCGACCACAGACCGGTCATCCTGGGTTTAACGCCTAGAACGGGTCCTTCAGACCCCGAACACACACCTCCCACCCGAGTGATCACCGACTGGGGGAAAGTACGCGATTCGCTGAAATCCTCCAACTCGGCTCACCTGGACGGGATACCGGACAACATCGTGTCTGCCGCAGACACGGCGCTCGCGGTCGACTCCCTCACGAGGCACGTACAGTCCGTCCTGAACGAGTGTTCGAGGGAAGTGCCAGCGGTGAGCGATCATCGCTGGAAACTCCCTGACGATGTGCGTGCCCTGGTGGCGGAGAAGAACGCGGCCGTTCGTGCCTACAGGGCTTTTCCTTGCGTTAGCAACAAGACTCATATGCGTTACTTACAGCGCAAAGTAAGTAACAGCATAGCCGAGTTACGCGAAAAACGCTGGGACAAGACCCTAAGCGAGCTAGAACCCAACCACCTGGCGTTCTGGAGCCTTCAGAGGAAGTTGCGCTCCCCAGAAGTCTCCACGATACCGCCCCTCACACGACCGGACAAAAGCATCGCCTTCGACGATGAGGACAAAGCCGAATGCCTAGCCGACAGCCTGGAGCTTCAATGCTCTCCTAGCACCCAGCCAACCGATCCGGCCCATCTCGCTAGAGTGGACGCCGAAGTAGAACGCAGGTCTGCTCTGCCTCCGATAGAGGACCCTGACACCCCCCTACCTCCCGTCACCCCAGACGAAGTAGAGGAAGTGATCAGAGGACTCCACCACAGAAAAGCTCCAGGGCGGGATGGAATGACAAACAGGGTCTTTAAGCTCCTCCCCGCCCAGATCATTGTACTTCTGGCTGCCATCTTCAATGGCGCCATGACCCATAACATGTTCCCACAATCGTGGAAAGAGGCTATCGTGATTGGTATCCCCAAGCCCGGTAAGCCCAGGTCTTCCCCGAGCAGTTACCGCCCCATCAGTCTGCTCAGCGCCTTCGGCAAGATCTACGAGCGACTTATTTATAAGCGACTCAAAGATTACGCCGAGGCGAAGAGCCTAATTCCATCACACCAATTCGGCTTTCGAGCCCGCCATTCTAGCGTTCACCAGGCCCACCGCATCGTCGAGTTTGTCAGCTCTCGCTTTCAACACGGCATGATGACGGGGGCTCTGTTTTTCGATATAGCGAAAGCATTCGACAAAGTCTGGCACAATGGCTTGATTTTCAAGCTATACCAACTCGGAGTGCCAGACCGCCTCGTGCTCATCATTCGAGACTTTCTGTCGAACCGCACCTTCCGCTACCGCATTGAAGGCGCACTGTCAACCTCGCGCCCAGTCAGGGCAGGCGTCCCGCAAGGGGCCGTACTATCGCCCCTCCTTTTCACGCTTTACACCAGCGACATACCAACTCGACCACGCGTAGAGCTCTCCCTGTTCGCAGACGACACGGCGATCTACTGCGCGGGCCGCAGTCCAAACTCCATAGCCCGAACCCTCCAAAACTCCGCAGCCGCACTAGGCGACTGGTTCCGGAGATGGAGGATAGAAGTCAATCCGGAAAAAAGCCAGGCGGTACTGTTCGTGAAGCCGCGTATCCACCAACCTGATACGCCTACACCCATAACCATGTTCGGCAAGCCTATCCCCTGGGAAAAGCAAGCCAAGTACCTCGGAGTCATTCTCGACCATCACCTGAATTTCAGAGAGCACATCAAGACGGTCCGTTCGCGAGCCGCCTTCGCCCTCAGTAGACTATTTTCAATGCTGAACCCACGCAGCAAACTCTCACTGAAATGTAAACTCCGTATTTATACTACATGTATACGACCGATAATGACGTACGCATGCCCGATCTTCGCGCATGCACCACCCCGAGCGATCCATAGGATGCAAACGCTACAGAACCGCTTTCTCCGAAGGGCCGCGGGCGCACCCTGGTACCTAAGGAATGACCGACTACACGTCGACCTCAAAATACCGACTTTGAAGCAATTCATGAAACGCTTGTCAAAGCGTTACTTCGAATCCGCCGAAAAGCACCCGAACCCCCTCATAGTATCGGCCGCCCGATACAAAACATCCCAGATTTCCAAAGTTCGCCGTCCTCGGCATATTCTCGAAGAACCAGACGACCCTATCACCATCCTACAAGAGAGCCGTAGGGATACCAGCACAATTCGTAAATACAAATACAGACCGCGTTCCGTATTCCGGCCTCGCCGCCGAGGCCCACCGCGACGTCCCAGTAACGTTAAAAACCGATCATTGCTAAACGAGCCAGCCGCGATGCTGAGCCAATACTAATAATAAATACTCGCGTAAATAATCCGACCCAGCCTGATTTGACTTGCTGCCCCTCCCCAATGACCCCGCCGAGCCGAGGTTCGAACCCCACAGGGGGTGCCCTCAGCGATGCGGTCATTTAGCTTAAGTAGTATTTGTTGCCCTGGCTGGGGGCCTTAACTTATAGAGGCCACCGCAGGGATTAGTCCGGTTAAGTAGTTAACAGCCGTAGCGTGCTGAACTACGAGTGGTCCTATCAAAAAAAAAAAAAAAAAAAAAAAAAAAAAAAAAAAAAAAAAAAAAAAAAAAAAAACAAACGCACAGTCAGAATACAGACACGGTACCGATAACACTTATTTATATATTTTAATATAAAATATTATTTAATTAATTTTAGAAAGATGAAAGTGTTTGTGTGTTTTGTTTTGAGTTACATCGCCTGCGCGTACGCCGGCACTTTGCGTGAGTTTTCTTTTCATTTCATTTTACGTACTTTACGAAAAAAAATTAGGTTCAAAGAAATAAGAAATTTAATTTTGACTTGATTTAGGGCTGATTTTTCAATAGTCAGATAAATGTTATCTGAGGAATCAAATTGTTACTGTCACTGTCTTGTACAAAAATTCATTGCCCAGATAACTTTTATCTTACCATTGGAAAATCAGCCCTTGAAAATATAAACATAAAATATTCTCTTCAAAAAATATCAAAAACATTCAATTAACGAAAATAACTTTGAAAGCTTTTTACACAAACTAAGCATTGCTTACTGATAAATTTAAATTATCAAATAGTAATACTTACGTGTCAATCAATTTATTCAATAGAGTACGTGAACAATGTATTTAATGGTGATTTTATTTTAATTAACTGCGGTTATGCCGTGGGATTTTTGTCTAAGCTTAGCTTAAGAGTTAAATAATATCTATAATAATATATTACGAAAGAGCAAAAGTAAATTGTTTTTGTAGACGTCTTACTAACCTAGTTTTTTTTATTATAAGACTGTATTTTTGACAGTTTAGTTTTTTATTTTTTACTGTATGTAGGTAATAGTTACGTATTGTAGTGTTCAAATTTTCAACTAGCAACGACCTATTTAAGGATGAGATATAAATTATTTTCTTTTAATTAAAGATGTTTTTGAAAACATTATTATGTGTCGAAAAGTTAAATAATGTTTAATATTGTTTTTTGAATTCAATTATTTTCTATATGATAAAAGACAATAGAGTAGTCTCCACTACACTTGAAAATAGATTTAAATGACACTTAAAAGCAAATTTAAGTAAAGTAACGATTTAGAGATACTTCTTTATTGTTTAACAAACCATCAATTATGGTTATCAAATCGTACAGAATTTCCGATCGTTCTGAATCGTAGAGAATACGTCGAGTTAAGAGAGTATGGTAACATGCAGGTTGTTTCTTAACATAAAAAGCAAAGTGGTGTTAAGCATATTTTACAAAGACCAAAAGGAGATTAATATAGTAATTAATACTTCAATTACTCCTCAATATTCATCTATAAAAGACATACTTAGATGGATTAGCTACATATAGATTACATAGATGGACAGAAGTCAGTTCCACTTTCTACTGACATTGAGATCCGCGATATGTTTGTTGCAAGAGCAAAATATTGCATAATTTCACTGCTCGTAGCTTGGAGTCGGAAGTTAAATTCGATAAATTAGTAACATATCCATATTTAGTTTAATTGTTGAAGCTACTTATCAGAATCGTTAATTAATGGGGCCCAGGGGTTTAGGCACCCGCTTATCATGAACGAAGGAGCGGTTTAAAACCTGGCAAGTACCAATGTGACTTTTTAAATGTCAAATGTAATTTCTTACTGTATTTAGACCACTGACTAAATGGTGAAGAAAATATCGTGAGGTAACATGGAGTTGTAATTTCGAATTAAAAGTTAAAAGAAACTAAGAACTTCTCACATGCAGAAGATATATTTATGCCCACTGTTGAGCAAGAAGATATATTTATACATATATATCTTCTGCATATGGGAAGAGTTCTTTGCTCAACAGTGGCCATAAGTGCCCAAAATAAGTCTGATAATGATGAACAGGATAAATATCTAAGACTAGGGCATAAATCAAACGATCGTTTCCATCAGGAATAAGAAATTAACTACCACACCTTTACATCTTCAGTGTAACCTAGGTGTTTAGTCTAGTTCTAGACAGTTGGCAATCTCTGCAAAGTGGTCCCATTGTTATTATTGGCTAGTTTCCTAATTCAAAAATGAATTATTGTGATATTACATTAATTAGACTTAAATTTAAAAATTATGCATGCTTTTGTCGAATATTTTTACGATGGATTTATATATTTGAATAAAATTATTGAAAATTGAATAATTTTTAAGTACCGGATTGATAATTTTTTCATACCGTCGCAGTACATTTGACGGTCAAAAGCCAACATCAATTCTAATTATATGAACTAGCTTTTGCCCACGACTGTTCGTGTGGAATAGTGAAAAACTATCCTAAGTCCTTTTTCGAGTTCCAAATTATGTCTGTACCAAATTTCACACAAATAGGTTCAGTAGTTTAGGCATAAAGAAAAAACTGAAAGACGGACAGAGTTACTTTCGCATTTATAATATGAGTTTGGATAACGGTACAAAACGTATTAAAAAAGTATTCCAAATGAACAATTACATACTTAATTACTTTAACTATACACGTGTTTACCTGAAGTTTTCAGTCGGTAACAGTTGGTTCCATTACATACTTGTTAAGTTAAATAAATCAAGAATAATTCTGCCCACAACAATAGAATTCTTCATAATTACTGTTAATTACATTCGGTGCATGTTAAAGCTACGATATGCGGTCAATTCGAGTAATTGAGAAGTGGGTAATTAACAATGTGACAAGATCTTAACTTTAATTAAAATCAGACTAATTGCCTCGACTGTCTAGTGGTTTGCAAAATATTTTTTACTAGCTACACCCGCGCGGTTTCACCCGCTGCTCTGCTACCTTTGATTGTAGCGTGATGTTTTATAGCTTATGGCACTCGGGAACATTGTAGCTATCAAATAGTGAAAGAATTTTGGAAATCCGACCAGCGGTTCCAAAGATTACCCCCTACATACAAACTTAAAAATTTTACCTCTCTATAATATTACTATAGATTTACGTAATTATAAAAGGATATAAATAGTAGGCTTGCCCCTGATAAGCACGGTTCTCGATTTTCCCCTCAATTTTTTTTTCATAAGAAACTTCTTCTGACATTATCAAAAACAACAAAGGAAGAATAAAATTGGCAAAATTGATCTAGCCGTTCTTGAGTTATACACACCTATGCTTACCAACGCATTTTGCAAGTAAGAGATAGAATAGGAATAAACGAAAGCCAACAATTTTCAGAATACTTAATCATTGAAGATATAGAGATAAAAATATTTGATTATAGATAATATACTAGAATCATGCAACACTAGATACATATTTTGGGATTGCTGATGATGACGATCATCATGATCAATATTCTAACTTATGTGTCAACCAGCTATAAAGATCTTCCTTGTAATAAATCAGTATTATAACATTATTACTTTAATTATATTATACTGTGGGAAAATTATGTATAAAAGCATTGTATTTTAAGAAAAAACTAAGCTAGTCTTTGTAAATCGCCCATTGTTTAAATATCTGCCACACTTTGATGACAAAGTATGCAATAATGTAATATAATGTACCTACTAAAAAATCTGTACGTAGAACTGATTGAATAAGAATAACTATGGAGTTTTTCGCTCGTTCTTCTCCATTGGGTTCTATACTTTGGACCAAGCAAACAGCTTTACTAAGAGGACTGACCGACAGACTGACAGTTTTTATTTATAATCTTTGATTGACGTTGATAGTGTAATTGAAATTAATGATTTTGACAAATATATCAGATGAAGCATGGTATCACATTCACACAAAACTAATGGTCATTTAAATTTTTTGCTTGGTAACTATTCATTTAAGGATGTTTTTAATATTTCTAACTAGAATCAATAAAGCACCAACTCACGTTGCCTCAGATGCCTCTCTTTGGGGAACTTCATGACTTCTCCTGCCCTGGATGGAACGAGAGAGAGAGTACCTATCAGACTTACTGAGTAAAAACCACCTCGTTGCTTATATTGACATTATTAACATCCACAATCCCAATGAAGATATAACCACCACAGTCAACTAAACGTAAACTCACTCGGATGTTGTAACATAAAATTGTTGTAATCCAAATTCCAAACTAATATTATAATTGCGAAAGTAACTGTATGTCTGTCTTCTCTTCACGCCTAAACTACTGAACGTATTTGTGTGAAATCTGGTACAGACATAGTTTGGAACTCGAGAAAGGACATAGGATAGTTTTTTTACCAAAATTCTGCGGGAAGTCACTATTATGCGTGAACGAAGTCGTGGGCAAAAGCTAGTTATTCATAATGCTAAAGTTCAACTCGTAACGGTAGATATTATTATACTTATCCACTCTCGCAAACTTTTAATTTTATAATTAACAATCAGATGCAAGATGAATATCTTCACATTCTAATAAATTGCATAAACGGATTGTAGATCGATTACTACATTATAGAGAGTTATTTGGACGTTACCAAACTTATTTTTTATAAGAGAATGGACAAGCTTCAGATTGGCAATAATAAACAGAACCTTGCGTACCTGCCGGTTATAAATGTTGATTTAGGTAACTAATTTTAATCACTCGAATAAACCTATAGCCTAGTATCAATAAAACATTTCCTGTTTAAAATAAACCCGCCAATTAAGTACCTACGAAATGCTTAAAGGTTACACATCAGGTGCCCTGCTCCTCTTCCTTTTTTGTATGATTGTGGCCAACGAGGCTACGAATTGCCTGATGGTAAGCATTCGGCGTCGCCAATGGACAACCGCTATACCTGGAAAGTTACGAGTGCTTGCCAGCATTTTGGGGGTCAGGTCAGGGGGATTTGAGGATTAGGGATTTAGGGATTGGGAAAGGGGGAAGTAGAATAATTAGCCTTCCAGTACTCTCATACATCGCAACACAACGTACCTAAGCGTTGTTTCACGCCGATTTTCTTATCACTCATACACAGCCGAAATATGGCTGTCCAAACTACATATAGCTTATAAGAAATAGTCAAAACCACTTTTAGATGGATGAAGTGCTACTAGAACTTTCCTACACAACCTTGTATTATGGAAAATTCTCCTCATTATAATATTACCATCGGCATAAGTCTGCACGGTTGGTGCGGTGGCTGGGCAACTGGCTGCCGTGCAACGTGTCGCGGGTTCGATTCCCGCACGGAACAACTCTTTGTGAGATCCGCAAATTGTTATTCCGGGTCTGGGTGTCATGTGTGTGTGAAATTGTATGTTTGTAACCGCACCCACGACACAGGAGATAATCCTACTGTGGGGCAACGTTTTTAAAAAAAAAAAAAAAAAAGAAAAGATAAAAAAAAGAAAAGATAAGTCCTTGTTCAGTTTAAAAAATATAATCTTATAGCTTTTCAATATATGTACATTCAGTATTTCGTAATGTAAACAGGCTTGGTGTCCTTTACAACACTGATGAAAATATGTCTAGTTATTAAAATTTAATCAATAATTTCTACCATTAAATTCGTTGTAAATATCTATAGGTAAGTTCAGAAATTTAATTTCATTATACCTAACTATTTTATTCTTATTTAGATGCAACCGATATGCTTGCATTATTAACTGATAGACAACATTTGTGATTTTCATAAGTCCTAAATCCGAAATGTGGGAGAGGCCATGTTTCGGCACAAATGGGTCGGCTCGACTGGAGTATTACCACGAACACACAGAAAACTGGCGTGCAATGCAACCACGGTGTTGTTCTTCGCCGGTTGAGTAAGGTCCCAATCGCTAAGGAACCCCTCCCCAATCAATGAAACCCTAAATCTCGAAAGGCCGGCTACGCACTCCTTTGAAGTAGCTGCTCTCGCGCGGTTTCACCTGCTAGGCTCCTATTGGCCGCATCATGATATTTTATAGCCTCGATAAATAGAATATTCAACACAAAAATATTTGTTCAATTCAAACCGGTAGTGTCGGATATTAGCACGTTGAAACAAACAAACAAATACTTCAACTGAATAATATTTGTATAGATGAGATGCTAATATGAAAACTAATTATTAACATAGGTAGGTACTGCATAACTAATCCAAACTTATTATACTATTAATGCGAAAGTAACTCTGTCTCTCTTTTCTTCACGCCTAGACTACTGAATTTGTGTGAAATTTGGTACAGACATAGTTTGGAACTGGAGAAAGGACATAGCTTAGTTTTTGAACAAAAAATCCGCAGGAAGTCACTATTCCACGCAAAAACAAAGTCGTGGGCAAGGGCTAGTTAGTTAAGTATATAAAATTACAAAAACAGCTTGTCACAAGTCAGTTTACCAACAAGTACCTAAATTTAGCACGCGTTTATTTAACAACTTGTTTAATTAAACCGTCAACCGACTTCGTGGTAACCGCGTGCACGTGATTCTAACCGGTTGGATTCATAACTCTACTGTCTCGAATCGACATTGACCTACCTCATTCCTTCACGTGTCCACATGGGAATTGAGACCCTGACACGGGAGGCCCTACACCCAAAATAAGGGCTTTTAATGGACCTTTACTTAATACCATCAAAGGTTAGATTCGTTTTATTTTCGGACAATTACTCTTCAAATATTGATAGTTAGTTACGTTTGAAAAGTTTACCTAACTTCAATGTCGAATTCCAAAGATTTCAAATTTCTTAAAACGATTGATTTAGTTAGCCTTGTTTAGCTGAAGGTTGTAGATGTAATATTATCTGGATCAAACTCGTGATAGGTGTAATAGGTCAACATGCGTCCGCGCAGACGACATGTTTACCTCGATTTTCGTATTTTATGCTAACACAGAAGCTTATATTTTTAATTTAAGCTTATATTTTCAATAATTTGGTTATTTATTTTACGACCGAATGTTAAATAATATTGTTTTCCGCTTTAATTTGTGCACAAAAATAAAATAAACATTAAAAAAAGAGGGTTCATATTAAAATCTACATTAAAATGAAACGGGTTTGTTGATATATTAATTACTTAAGTACTTATTACTGCAACAATGTCCTCCACTCAAAAATTATATAATTTGTTGTTTATTCTTACTTACAAAGATTTAAATAAAATTACCTTAACCTCGTTTATGACCAAATTAATCCATATTTATTAACAAAGTGGTTACGTAAAATATTTTAAACAAGGGGATTGACTACTTTATATCTTTTAAGTAAACTAGAGCAAATATAGTTTAAAATAAAATAAATGTAAAATTGTCAGGAGACTTTCAACTATCGAAACACTACCGATCTCACCAGCTTATTTAGACCTCACTTATAGAGTTCATAAAATATTAAATCATCTTAACAGTTCAACGCTCAACTAGAAGAAACCGCACCATACCAACTAAAGCAAATACCTAATCTCGTTCTTTACAGCGTCATTCATCAAACCATGCTCGAGATCTGATCCGAACTTGAATGAGTGTGTGGAAAAAGTCATATCGGTGGCTGGAGCGAAGTTCAGCGAAGGTATCCCGGAGTTGGGCATTGCTCCCCTCGACCCTGTGGAGTTGGGCACCGTGGTCGTTGACAATCCAGCCTTGAAACTCACATTCACCGACACTGTCGTCACCGGTTTGAAAGGATTCAGAGTAAATTCTTACAAGTACGTATACTCAGACTCGTTTAGCGAGAATTTTGTAATTGTGTATCTTAATCTATAAACAGCAATGACAGCCTTCCATTCAAGTAGTTGCTTTAACGTCTAGGTACAACTAGTAAATCAGAAATAAGGACCTACAATATTTAACTTAGAAGCCTGTTTTTAATAGACGAAAAGTTTGATATATAAATACTATCATATCAACTGTATACCGACGTGACATTCCACCTAACAAAATCAACATAGGTTCATTTTAACAATGTACATTTTTATTGTCTTCAGGATCAACCCAGACAAGGGCAAGGCCACCTTGGACTTCACAGCCAACGTAACATTGAAGGCCCACTACGACATGAACGGACAAGTTCTCATCCTGCCCATCAGGGGTAACGGACAGTCCAAGATCAAAATCAGTAAGTATACCTGCTTAAAAGAAGTGTCTAGCAATAAGAAGCAATAGGTAGTATGGTAAACAGAATTATCATAACGAAGAACGAAACAAATATCAACAATCGAATCCAACTCAAAATAACAATTTTAAAGGTTCTTCCTGGTACAAAACTACCGAACAAAATGCGCAACAAAAAATAATAAAGAAGCAACACTACACCAACAAATAAGCTCCCATTCCCTTTCATTATAAACCTGTACAAATTCCAGCAGTTAACTGGAATACGGAGTAATTGTACTAAGTAATATGTAAGTGTTTACTTACAACGGGTTTGTAAGACCGACACTAAATATACATACTTGCACAAGTCAGCCGGTTGGTAAAGGAAGCAGCAACAAATAATTGAGGGCTACCGTAGCACTGCACGAAACAAATGGTAGGTGAGGGTTTGAGGCAACAATTTGACGAACACGTATTGTAGAAAGGTCAATTCAATGTCATATTAAGTCGTGCTAATTTCAACTACATAAACAGAACTGTAACTATTAAACAAAAAATGGTTGAGTCTCAAGTTTTTGGCAAAGTTACCCTCGTCTCCAAAACTAATGGGAAGAAAATCTTAATATTTGCTTGCAAATAGAATCCTTTACTAAACGTATTTGGGTTCATTTCTTTGATATACCTAACAATCCGTAGATAATTTTCATTTTTAATATGAAATATACTTAGAAAGCAAAATTAACTGTTTTATCAAAACATGAGAAAACGTTTTAGTAAAAATCCATTTTTCAACAGCGAACCTCAACATTGTCGTCAAGTATGACTTCGAAGAAAAAGACGGACATTGGATAGTGCCCAGCTACAAGGACCACTACAAGATGGACAGAGCTCAGTTCAAGTTTACCAATTTATTTGGGGGGAACAAGGAACTCGGTAAGACCTGTTTAACATTTAATATGTTGACTTTTTAACCTTGACCTTGTAGGCTATTTAGCATAATTAGGTGACAAAGTAATGCCCCGAGATGTGATGATCTCATCCGCTATTCTCTTAACTAGAAACCGTTAAACAGGTTTCATTTTGACGACATATTTTACAAATACGATTTTCTACAATTCCAGGGTTCTACGTACCTACTAAGACAATTTTTTCTACTTTTGAGCCTGCAAATTCACTGTTAGACTTTTTCACAGTAGAGTAGGTACTACCTATTACAAACAGTAAAAGACAAACAAGTTAATCACATCACGATTCCTCTCTGATAACTGATACAGCCTATCTACCTACTGATAGGCCAAAAACAGATAAATGATAACAGAATCACAGCAACTTACAAATTATACCTAATCAACAATTAAATTACAGCACAAACAACAGAAAGATTTACAAATGAAAACTGGGAGATTATAATGAGTGAGATCGCACCGCCCGCACTCAAGCAGATCATTAAAAAATGCGTCGATCAAGTGAAGAAGTTCTTCGGCTCAATCCCTGCCAAAGAATTACTGCCCTGAATGGTTGGACATTACGAGATTATCATATTGTTCTAAAACATTTACTAATTCGGCTCATAGGTTATTAATATTTTGGGTGATGTTAATCATCATGTCATATTAACACTACCTAATACTAACAACGACTTAGCTTAGATCATATCTACGCCTAACATTTAACAGTCCGCTACGAGATTTTTTTGTTTAGGTACAACTGCTCCACAAACTACCAACACTTCACTAATTGTCATCGGTGACTCTTAACCTTCGTAAAAAACCATATGTTTTAATGTTTCTATTCCAACATCATCATTTAGCTCAGGTGTACTTAGGTACTCATCATTGCTAAACCAATAAGGTCTCAATTCAATTGGTCCTCTATTGTTACGAATTGTTTACGTGGTTTATTTTATAACGATGATAATTTCACAGGTGAAACAATCCACCAAGTTATAAATGTTAACTGGGAGCCTGTGATGCGGGACATCGGCCCGGCCGCCTTCCAACAAATCATCAAAGCGTGCGTCGACGAAGCGAAGAAGCTGTTCGCAGCAGTTCCACTCAACCAACTGCTGCTACCATGAACTTCAATCACTTATCAACACACAAGTAGTACCTACCTACCTTGAAAAGGATCGACAAAATAAAATTCGTTATAGAATTAACCGTATTCAAATCATACGCTGTTAACCCAGTGATGATGTGTGATTTGTATTTACATGCATGTCTAAAATCGAGGTAAAATTGCGAGAAGGCAACCTAATTATACAGAATCAGCTATTTTGTTTGTCGAGGCACGTTTTTCGTACTTAATTTGCACGAAATATTTCTATACAAGACTGTATTTTGATCATTTGTTTGTAGGCGTACCTACCTATAAGTTGGTTATTAGTAATAAGTATTGTGATAATTAGAGTAAGTTAGTTACTTTGGTACTAGATTAATTTATTCGACATTAAAATTAGAAATGTGTGAACTGATATTTTTTGTTTATTACTACTAAACCCCAGGCCCCAGCGGTAGATTTCGAAGTTACGCGTTGCTTGTTCGATCCCGCTAGGAGTATTAGGTACCTAGGTATTATTCCACTTAATAGGTTACTTTACACAAATTCAATATTTTTCTGTTTTTGTTATTTTTTGTAATATGTACATACCTACAAGGTACCTACTGCTGTGTTCAATTCTCTGAAAGAACAATTATTCTTTGAAGTATACAATTCGATATATACGACAGTGTGAGTGACATTGAGATGGTGATGTTTACCTCTTTTTTATCAGACAATAATATGGTTATCGCAAAACGAGTTACCCTATTGACCTTATAAACAAATCGGTAAATTTGTTCCACTGAGAACTTAATAACGCCATCTATTGAACCATTCAGAATCAACACAAAGAATAAAATTTTTGGGCAAAGAAAAACTCAAAAATAGCTGCACTTAATTACAAAAGTACTCTTTTTTTTATTACTTATAGAAAACTTTCATACTTAAAAATATCCCACTTCAACTAAAATAGCCATAAATTGATTTGAACACAACATACACATAACAAAAAATTAATAGGTAGTGAAGAGAGTAGACCACAAAAAGGGTTAAAAATAACAAAAATAAATATAATTACAATGAATAATGTATTTAATAAACAATATAACAAAATATAAAACTTAATCAATAATAAAAAGCAGAAAAATGAATTAAGGTTTTATAAATGCATTTGAAACCATGTTATTGGCACATCGTGAAATTATATTGTGTTTGAGCGAGTTTATCGAGGACACATAGCGTGTCTACCTCCATCTACTGGTACACTGACTCCAGTGATGTTGCTGGCCAGGTCACTTGCTAAGAAAGCAATAGTAGCAGCTACTTCGTCTGGTTGACCTGGGCGACCCAGAGCATGGGTCTCTTTGGTCCTGACCAAGAAGGCAGCATACTGCTCTTCTGTCATACCTCCCCTCTTCTGTAACTCAGTCAAAATAACTCCAGGATTGATACAGTTGACCCTAACACCTTTTGGTGCTAATTCTAAGGCTACACACCTTGTGAACTGATCTACAGCAGCTTTCGACACATTATAAGCAAGAACCCCAGGGAACGAGCGAATACCATTAACACTGGATATGTTCACGATGTTACCTTTGGTTTTAATCAAATGTGGAACGGCTAGCATTGTTAAATAATAGATAGAACGCACATTGGTGTTCATTAGGCGATCGTACTGGCCTAAAGAAGTATTTTCAATCGTGCCTGTTTCAATAATGCCCGCATTGTTTACCAATACGTCAATTTTACCATAATGATCGATTGTGTTCTTCACGATCTTTTCAATATCACTTTCTTTCGTCAAATCAGCAGGAACAGAAAAGATTGACGAAGGCTCCTCACATTCCTCACAAACTTTTTTTAAATTCTCGACGTTTCTACCAGTCAGTGATAGCTGAGCACCCAACTTTGATAGGAATACAGCTGTTGCAGCTCCGATTCCAGAACTTGCTCCGGTTAAAAGCACTACTTTGCCTGCGAGACTCATTTTTGATAGCAGAGTTGCGTTTGCTGTTGCCTGGATACCTCTACTTAGTGACATGGGAGAGGATCTGATTTATTTTTAGTGAAATCACACTTCTAGAGTTTATAATAAAGACTAAATCACGCGGATACCTTATCACTAACTTTGTTACATAATATTAAAATACAAAAACAACTTTTATCAAGTAATTTAATTCATGATTTGTTCTAGTAAAATATTGCCGGCATACATTAAAAACATTGCCAATATAAGCACGTAACGTAATTGAATAAACACATCTCATTGGTTTAAAATTTTTATTAAAACTTAAATACCAATCAGAGATTTCTATCTTACAACATGTACATTTTTAATCTGTCCACAATTTAGTGCTGTACTTTTTAAGTGGATCAAAAAGTACGGTTTATAAAAAATCGTAACAATTTGTCATGAAACTTAGAGGAATTGTAATCATGACCCAATAGATTAAAATACTTTGCCAAATTGATGTCATTTGTCATCAGACATATCAGTTTGATTTTTTTTTGAGTGAGTAATTGTTTAATATACAAATAAACATGTAGGGCTTAAAAACAATTTATTACAAAATTTTCCAACCAAAATTATCAGTATCATTTTAAATCAATGGCGAAAGTAAGTTTAGGATAGTTCGTAGCGTAGCATTAGTGATTATAATGCGGTAATTTAAAAATACATTTTACTTATAGAAAGAAGTTATTCACATCCACATTGGACAGTCAGGGGTACAAATAGCCAATGCATGCTGGGAACTATATTGCCTTGAACATGGCATAAGGCCAGATGGCGTTTTAGCTTTTGGTAGTGAAGATGAAAGCTATGGAGCCTTTTTTAGCCATACAGGCGCTGGAAAAGTCGTACCTAGAGTTGTTATGGTTGATTTGGAACCAACTCCAATTGGTAAGTAGTAGAAAAAAGTAAAAGCATCAGGTATTACGCCTTTGATCTAATAAGTTATAATATTCATGTAAGTATAGTTTTACACCCCTTTGCCTTGAGCCTTTTACTTTATCTTGACCAGTTCACAAAAGGCAAGTGTATCGTTAAGCACCGAACGCCATTTGTAACTTTGTATTAATAGACAAGAGAATATATAGGTAATATTATAAATAATAAGTACCTAAGAATCGACAAAATCCCAGTAATAGTTTTGTAACTTTGTGTAATCTAGTGAATCGATCCTAAAGTCATTCACAAGGTATTCATAGCATCTTCAAAAATAAGAAAGCCAGTCAGTAAGTATTTTTTCTTACAGATGAAATAAGAACTGGAACATACCGCGAACTTTTCCACCCTTCAACTTTGCTTACTGGCAAAGAAGATGCTGCTAGCAATTTTGCAAGGGGTTACTTTGGCGTCGGCCGGGAAATGATTGATTTAGCTTTAAATCGTATAAGAATCGTTGCCGAAGACTGTAATTCCTTACAAGGTTTCATGATATTTCGATCATTTGGGGGTGGTACTGGTTCTGGATTCACTGCTTTATTACTGGAAGGTCTGTCTAAAGACTATGGAAAATTATCAAAAGTAGAATTTGCTATATATCCATCTCCAAGAATTTCTCCAATAATTGTTGAACCATATAATGCCGTTTTGACCAGCCACACGACTATGGACACTGAAGACGTTTGCTTTATTTTTGATAATGAAGCCTTGTACGATATCTTGGCACGTCTCCTAGATACTCCACGGCCCACATATACTAATTTGAATCGGCTTATAGCTCAGGTATTCACACAATATAATATAGTGACTTAATAAAGAAAAGCTCTACAAATTTCACATTCGGCTACATCACCGCGACGTGCACGCTTCTTATGAATCCCGCTGTGACTTGAAACTAGTGGAGCTTTTGTCAGTTAATTCACATGAGTTTTATACTTTCAATTGATATATTTTAGTGTATGTATCCGCAATGCGCATAAATAAAATGCTGATTAATTAATGACAAAATAATAATTTTCAGGTTGTATCGTGTATGACTGCTTCTATGAGGTTTGAAGGTTCTCTAAACGTACAACTTGTTGAATTCAGAACAAATCTGGTCCCATACCCAAGAATTCATTTTCCATTAGTAACCTTCGCACCATTCGTTCCGGCGACAAAAGCGATGCATGAATCAAATACTACTCAGCAATTGATGATGCAATGTTTTGAACCCAGCAATCAGATGGTTAAATGTGACCCTAGACGGGGTAGCTACATGTCTTGCTGCTTATTTTTTCGTGGGGACGTCAATCCAAATGATATCAATGCAGCGATAAATCAAATTAAAACCATGCGTTCAATCAAATTTGTTTCATGGTCTCCCACTGGATTTAAGGTATTTTGGTCACTTTGCTTTTTATCTATGAAGTAGGTACTTACGTAAATAAATTTATAACGAACGATCGTATAACTGTGTATTTAAGTTTTTAAATATTCATCTGTTGCTAACAGATTGGTGTTAACTATCAACCTCCAATGACGGTCCCTGGCGGTGATTTATCCGCATTAATGAGAGCTGTCGTGATGGTGTCAAATAGTTCAGCAATACGAGAAGCCTGGGAGCGTCTTTGTAAAAAATTCTCTTTGATGTATGCTAAACGTGCATTTGTACATCATTATGTTGGTGAAGGTTTAGAAGAAGGTGAATTCGGAAGCGCTCTTTCAAATATTAAAGCATTAGCAAGAGATTATAAAGAAATGGAAGATTAAATCTATATACATGGTGACTATGTAAATGTTAAAATTCTGTACAAAAATTGTTGAAGTTCGTTAAAAAGGAAAGTTGTAACCAAATGAGATAATTGTGAATAAAACCTACATTGAATTAAAACCTCAATTTTCATATTGCCCCATTGGTTCCCTAGTACCTACTTAGTCAGAAATGAGACGCAAATTTAAAGAATTCAAAATCAAAATATTTGGAGCTCTTCATTTTATACACCGATTTTAAGATACGGGTTTGTCGTTGTGAGAACTACCCCTTGCTTGGACTGAGCACCACTATGTCCTCAGAAAAAGATAGACGAGCATGATGCGGAGCGTAAGTAACTGGGAAGCGGCCTCCTCATTCTGATAATTAGTCGTGCTCGCAAAGGAGGAGGCACAGCTTCTGAAGGAGCTATCCTCCTCACACCCAAGCCGCCACACTAAGCGATATTCCGATAGCGTATATCGTTGACGATGGACGTCTGAGGTAGGCGGACAAGGGAAGCTCGCTTCCCGATCATAACCAGACCAGAGGGTGCGACGCAATCAAAATCAAAAAATGATACAAAGATTGATATTTTCATTGCATTTGTAAAATGTTAAATAAACCTATTCTAACCTTATTTACGGTTTTTAGACTGAACCGCTTCTATATTGACATCCTATCCGCTGCCGTTGTCAGTGTCATATGTCAAATCCAATGACAAACGCAGCACGAACTGGACAGGTCGCAATACTCGCGTTGTTCCTATATTGCTTCATGAAGATAAAGTCGACTGGATAAAGTCTGCATTTATTATCCATATTCCAGTATTCTACTCAATGTACAACGTAACTTTAAGTTAAGGTGTAGTGCTGACAAAGCCTGAACGATTGCACTTAAAAGCATTTCTTGAAATATTTACAAGTGAGTTAATAATTTTAAAGATAATTATTAATGTACTTATCTATTAAAACGGCCGAATACCATAATAAGATTAGTTTGAGTATCTGGATAACTATATCATTCAGATTTTGAACTAGTACTTTTACCCTCTGAGGTATGCATACGTTTCTTGTATGTTGCTTAATATTATGTAAATTCTGGGTACTGCTATGCTTCCAGCCGGGGTTGCAGTGCAAGCACACTAGTGTGCCGCGGCCTCGGCTCGGAGTAGGAGAGGGAATGTAGTGGTTTTCAATCAGTAAAAGTCTCACACTCCCTCTTCCCCAGAGTAGAGAGGAGGAGAAATCATTTGATGATTTTCACCTGAATTTGTTTTAGATATTTAGCAACCTAAACACAATTAAATGTTCTTATTTTTCTCTTTGAAAGACACTACTTACTGAAATATTTTATTGTTACTCTGCAGGAAAATATTGATTTAAAAAACCTAGCACCAGGTTTAATGAACAGAATTTAAGTATTACTTACATATTTCTTGTAACTAATTGTCTGGTAGTGTCTAAGCAAAATACTAGTCAGCATGAATTCAGATATCTTGTTATCACCAATAATAATGTATTAATTTGGAAGAATAATATAATAAGATGGCACTCATGTTTATTTAATTGAAATTTCCAGAAATGTTAAGTCTGTCAAACCTGTGCCGCTGCACACAGTCTCTGCGGGTGGCTCAGAGCAAGTTACTGGTGTCTGGTGCAAGGAATGGCTTTAACACAACAAATATTGTCAGCCGACAACTCATCACACAGAATAATAAAGCCAGCAGGTTCAAAGGATTAAGGGTTAGTTCTTAAATAACAACATCCTCTTAAAATGTCTATTAAGGTTTTCTTAGATGAACATTTCACCTGGAAAACATATTGTGTCACATTATGCAGCAATGATATTAACTCGAACATAATCAGACATTGTACTCTAAGTGCAATAAATGAACATAATCCTATTCTATACAATCTGTAGCAGAAAATGCATTAACCCAAGTTTAATGCTTTATTGATTCCATTAAATATGATTAACTTTCCAGTAGCGATGTTTTCTATTGAAAGAATCTACACTTTCTGTATCAGGTTTTTTACAAATCAAACAAACATACTGTTATCATCTGTGCATTTACACTAGACATGTGTAAAGTTGCACTTGTTAGTAAATCATGTTTATCTCTCAACTACTTCAAACAACGGACATTGCCCACTACAGTAGATATTCAATGATAACTTTTTGATTGTGGTGATAAGGGACACAATAGAAAGACAATAGGGGCACAAACACTGGTGTTTGCTTGAGGTTTCACGAAATATATTGTTTTTTTTTTATGGTGCAAGTTGGCAAACAATCATACTGATTATCAGGTGATAGTAAGCAATCAGCGCCGCCCATGGACTCCCGCAACACCAAAGGTGTTACAAGTGCGCAAGTGCTAGTCTTTTAGAGATACGGGTTTTGGATATTTAACCATAGAGAAGGGATGGGGAAGAATGCCGCCTCCAGTTATTGTATGCAGCAGCATCAAGTCATATTTGATGTCACAAAAAGAAAATTATTTATATAGGTAATTTATAATAAACTAAACACTCACTTTTTATGCAACACATATTTAGAAACTGCTATTTTATTTTAATTAAGAAACTCTGTTATAAGTTTTAAGGTTCTTAATTTTGTTTTAGAATATTTTTTGGTGTCATAGTTCATCTTTAAAATTATCTAATATGTTAGTTTTCAAAATTGATATTAAATGCCACTTGTGTCAAGGTAGACAAGATACCAGTGACCTTGTGGCCTTTCCCAAAAATTTTTGCTTTTTCTTGATAACAATATTGATAATGTATTATTAAATTATTTTCAACAAAGTTATTGTACTATAGTGTGTAGTCATATTTAACACATTTTAGCTCCAAATTTTTCGGAAAAAGTTTCATATATTTTAATTACATTACAAATGATGTCTTTAACTCACAAGATATTTTCAGTAAACACATTTATTAAACCCACAACTTAATTATTATATTTTCGGATTACTCACGTAATCATTTGACGAGATACTCTATTAGTTTCATGAGTAGCAATTCGCAACACGCGACGCGGCGACTGTCGCGCTGCTATTCACAGTAGTAAGCCGAAAACATAATAATTAATTTAGAATCCTTTTTTTATGTAATAGGTCGGCAAACGAGCAGGCGGATTACCTGATGGTAAGCAATCAGCGCCGCCCATGGACACTCGCAACGGAGGAGTTACGAGTGCGTTGCCGACCTTCTAGGGATTAGGGATTTGGAGATTTAGGGATTGAGGAGGGATTGGGGGAGGGGAAGGATTGGGCCTCCGGTAACCTCACTCACACGGCGAAAGACAACGCTGTTATAGTATATGTGTGGTATCACTCCGGTCGAGACGACCCATTCGTGCCGAAGCATGGCTCTCCCACACTTGTATGTATCACGAGGGTTATAATAAAAATCCCACAGCTTGTTGATATTAAACCTAAATTAGTCAAATCTTTCTAGAATAAAAATAAATTCTCACTCTTGAACTCACAAACTAATTGGCCTACGCTGGTAATAGAATTATACATATTATCAATGCATATCTCATGTATTACTCGTATTAAATAATTTCAATCTCATTAGCAACATTTTATCATGGCATGCAGACTTACTGAAAATTGTAGACCTTAGTACCTTATAAACACATACTTTGTTGATTAAGTTAATTAGTAGCTAATGTCTGATTGTGAAAAACAGTACCATCTCAATAGATAAATTACATTGGCTGATATCTTGTATCTTTATGTAGTAGGTATTAATTTTGCTGCCGTAAAATAACCCAATTCTTGATAGCCCAAATTGAGAGATATTTTAGTGTTTATATTTTTTAAAACATTCTTGTTAATCGTCTTAAAACTACCTACTGAAGTTAATTAATTTCAAAAGCATCGCTTTTTATTATCCTTGCATAATTTACTAGTAAAAGTCGGAGATACGAGTCCAGCGCTAAACGCAATGGGGTCGCTAAGAAGCTCTGAAATCTGGGCAGAAATATCCGACACTTTTACTTCTCAAAAAACATTATATGTTACATTCTTCTTAAATATATCCCCATATTACTTTTTATTTTAAAAGTACACAGTTTCAGTAGGCGCTACTGCTAGTTACTAATACTAATACTAACATAGTATTCTGATGGTATACTAATTTATTGATCATTTTATTTTCCAGCTAACAGATCTTCTGAAGCCTCAAAGCATTGCAGTTCGCTTCTGCCAGAATGCCCCGAAACAGAAATCCTCAAAAGTAGTGGGATACTGGCTCCTAGGATGTTCGGGGATGGTGTTCACTGCCGTCGTGCTAGGTATGGTAGCTGGGTATCTTATACTATTGTACAGCATATACTATGTCATTGAAGTAGCACTCAAAACTACTGATCCTAAGAAGTAGGGAATGTTGGAATATAGGTTTGGAATGACTAGCATCTGCAGGCACAATTTTATCTCAAAAATTATGAAGTAGGTTTAGTTGTGGTTTTGTTGGGATGCCTCGTGTTTGATTTATTGCATTTTTAGAAGTTGAATATTTATTTGTATTGTTCATATTAATTGACTGTTAGCGTAACTACTTATATTTATTTAAAATGCATTTGTCTTACTACAATATCTTAAATTAAATTATGGATTTGTATAAGCATACCTAAGTGGTACATAAGTCTGATAATTAATATATTTATTATACTATAGTATTGATGGGTGAATGCATAATACTTATGAATTAGTTAAACATTATGTGTTACCTATGTACCTGTAGTCTAGAGATTGAATGACTTGTGATATGCTGTAGGCTCATACTAATAATGACTGAAATTACAAAAAAAACTTTAGGCGGGATGGATTATTTAATATTTTTAGTCTGTTAGCTTTAATCCTGTATATTTTGCATCGAATAAAGATGGTGTCAAAGTTATGTTTTGTTTTATTTCCATTTTTATTTATTAAACATTCCAATGAATGTTGATACATGTTTGACTTACACTGTGTTGCTTCATTGTTTTGATGTTCTGTTCAAAACAGCTTTATCAAAAGCAATTATGTTATTGTTTGGGTTTCTTTGCGAGATTAAACATACATTACTTGCTTTCTTCAACAAATGATTCTAAATTATTAAAACTACAACATTTTTAATAAATAAATCCTTGTAGAAAATATAGCTTTCTCTCTCAGCACAACCTTCATTCGATATATTGCAACTATGCTTCTGCCAGATAAGTTCACTTATTTTCATATGAAATGTAAAAGTAGTCATAGTTTTCTTTAGTATTTTCTAATGATGTACAGGTGGCGTGACCAGGCTAACGGAGTCAGGGTTGTCAATGGTGACATGGAAACTTCTTGGAGAGAAAATGCCGAGGTCTGAAGAGGAGTGGCAACAGGAGTTTGAAAAATATAAGCAGTATCCAGAGTTCATATAGTATGTAGACTGACACTATTCTGAAAAATACTTTCGCGTATGCAAGCGCCAAGCTTCACGGAGTAAGAGCCTGACGGATTATAATTATATTAATTCACGTGTTAAAATTACATGTAGTGCTACTTTTAAGAATTAGGTTGAGTTAGAATTAATGTTTTTGGCTTTAACTTTGACTATGCTTAATTGTCAATATTTATTGAAAAGTTTACTTCACACTCATTTTTACTGTTTTTATTCACAGTAAAAACCAAAACATAACGCTATCAGAGTTCAAATGGATTTGGTACATGGAGTTTGCTCACCGTACGTGGGGGCGTGCTATTGGCGCTGCTGTGTTCCTGCCCGCCGCTTTCTTCTGGGCTAAAGGCTATTTAGACAAGGCGATGAAAATTCGGGTCGGGGCTTACTGCATGCTCGTTGCGGCTCAGGTAAGAACAATGTTACAACTCCTTATAATCGAATCAAACAAATGCACCTTGGCACAATACCTGGATGATCGAATGCCCTGTAACGTGTCGTGGGTTCAGTTCCATTTAAAACTTTTTGATCAAATTCTAATCCATCCCAGTACTTTGTTCCACTTAAAATGTACATTATGTTTACAGGGTCTAATGGGCTGGTACATGGTCAAATCAGGTCTAGAAGACCGTTTCCAAGGACCATCAGATGTGCCCCGAGTGTCTCAGTACCGTCTCGCTGCCCATCTGAGTTTAGCTTTCATTCTGTACTCTGGACTCCTAGCTGGAGCTCTGAGGGTGCTCCGCCCCTTCCCTACTGCCTCCACACTCAGGACTCTTAAGGAACTGAAGAGCATCACTGCGCTCGCGCATACAGTTAAGGCTATGGCTTTCTTGACTGCTGTTTCAGGTATGTTATCAGTTTTTTATTATCTATCATATAAAATTGAATCGCTAAGTGTGTAGCTAAACGCAAATCTCAAGAAGAGATGCATCGTTTTGCAAGTTCTTTTATTTGCCGTATTGTCAAGTTTTTTTTTATAATAGAAATTTTTTGGTATCTGAAACGAAAAGTTGCTATATATATAATTGTTATACCTATGAAATTGCCGTTCTGTTATTATTTTTATTATTATTTATTATATTATATTGTTAGGCTAAGGCTAATTAATTTTGTTTGAAAAACATGGGACTCTTTTTCCAAAAGTAGTCATTTGTTTATCATTTGTTCATGCAAAACGGCAATTTCATAGGTAAAGACCTATTAGGTATAACGGGTTGCCCTTTCGATGGCATATGACCATATGACCTGTATACAGGCAATATGACACTTGGAAAGTGCGGGCCGCTAGTCTCCAATAATCGTGCATTAAGATAACTTTTATATAGTAGTATTCCAATAGGCTTAATATAATCATATCATTCATCTTACTGTGATTCTGTAGAAGAAATCTAAACTTTGAGATTCGACGAACAAAACCCGATTATTTAAGCCGCAAATCGCAATAATACGGTCAAGCATCTTAATATGACTATTCTTTTTTTCAGGCGCCTTCGTAGCGGGTTTAGACGCCGGCCTAGTATACAGTTCATTCCCAAAGATGGGAGACAAATGGATTCCTGATGACATTCTGGAATTCTCACCAACACTGCGCAACTTCACTGAGAATCCCACGACGGTGCAGTTCGACCATAGGATCCTTGGTACCACTACCCTGGCACTGGTAACTGGACTATGGTACATGTCCAGAGGGAAGGCGCTGTCTCCCATGGCAAGGAGAGTCGTCAATGGAGTCGGAGCTATGGCGTGGTTACAGGTAATATATAATAAAGTTTATCTGCCACAGTCTGTATAATTATGATTACTGATATTTGGACAACTTGAATTAATTAAAGTTATTTTTATGTGAGATGTATGTTGAGTGGATCCATTCAGACGTGATATTTTATGGATGGGATGTGTCATAAAGTATGTATGTAAGACAGATGACTTGTACATGTTGGATGAAGGATTCTTTTATATGAGTGACAATAATGAATGTCTATTTATTAACGGTTCTATCTCTCCCCAGGTGTCGCTGGGTATCATGACCCTCCTATACTACGTGCCGACCCCGCTGGCCGCCTCGCACCAGTCCGGCTCTCTAGTGCTCCTGTCTCTCGCTATCTGGCTCACACACGAGATCAAGCTGTTGAAATACATACCAAAGTAACGCACCCAACACAGACTGTAACTTATTGTAAATTAAACTTATTTTAGTGTTACAAATATCTCGTTTTATTTATTTACAATGGCAGGCAACTACAGGGTCCATCGTCATAGAATACAATACACAAACAATGTTATTCACAAAGTGTTTTTATTTGAAAATTTAAAATGCTAATATTGCTTACACACTGAAAAACTGTTTATGTACAAAACTGTGTGTAGACAAATCGCAGATGTGTTGCGTCGAGCCGACTGCGCCGGCGCTCCTTCATAATGTACAAGTCGAGTATAGCCTTACGACACACGCAGTGAATTTGTTATTTCATATAAATCTATCTATCTACATACTTGTAACAATACAGGCATGATCCAAACTGCGGCCTCGTCAACACCCACATCGATATATTGTGCTTCTAACACACTAATGTTACAGCGCTACCCCGAGACAGGGTCCTGAGAGATATATCCTTAATTTCAGACGTAAACGTTTCAATTGCAACAAAAAATATCAAGGAATTCGTTTAATAATTAAAATCTTGCTATAAATACAGCGTAACTAGGTCGAGTACAAAATAACATCGGTCGTAAACTAAGAATACACCAATTAATATATGAATATAATATTCAGTATATTGAGCGGAGCGGTGACGTCACGGCGCTCGTTTAAAGGTACATAGTAATATCAACTACAATATAAAGGTCCCCGCTACTGGCTGAGGACAATATAGATATATCTTCAAATAAATGTTTCATCTTGCGTACGTAAATAAATTTTATTGCTTAAGGTACATTCAGAGAGTAGCTACAGTCAACAACAAAATAACAAATGTGGTGCTGACTGTACATGGACTTAAGTAAGTGCTAGTAAATAAAGAGAAACATGTATAGATGTGAGTATGACATTTGAATAAGTTTACAATTTTGGACATTACCCGTATCTGTTAGACATAACATTTAGTCGAGAGAAAATTATTATGGCGAACTTATTCCGTAACAATATCATAGTAATCGTAGTGCGATGGCAGTTCCAGTAACGTACTTCAAATACGAAATAAATCCTTCAACGAAAATTAAATGGTAGCACCATACATAATTCCTTAGTCCGAAATCAAACGTTTAGACCGTTATATGACTATTGTACATCTAGCTATGGCCGACTGTTGTAATTTTAACCTAAATATAAATGAAAATCTAGTAATGTAAAGTGAGGCAACATTTATAATTTATATTTGTTGGTAACACAGGAGAAATTGTTCACAGATAACAAATACTTTTTTCTTCACTGGCAATTTCAGTCTCTTGTGTGATAAGGCGTGAACTACAGGCGTGACACAGGTTTCAGATTGTAGTGGTTAGGCGGACTTGTGTCGGGATCGAGACCGGGTTCGGTCCAGTTCGAGCCTTAGATCGCACGTAACAAGTCAACGTGATTGTCGACATTAATACCTTCACATAGAGTAGAGTTTAGCGTGCGCGAGTACATCAATGTATTGTTACATATTTATATAGTGAAAACGATGTGTCATCGAAGATGTAGGTACATAAAATATATGATAAGCCAACAATGATGACTCTGCATTTAGATTTACAAAGTAAACATTTTATTATTAATTCCTTTATTTTCTGAAAGAGGTATAATTATGCTGGTAATTATTATTATAGAATTCTCGCTATATTTGCAGAGTAACCATCGTTTAACTGAATAATATCTCGAGCCTCTTCCCAATTTATCTATTAAATAATTATGTATAAATACTAAAACTAACCTAATAAGTTAGTACTAAAATGTTATAATCATCTTATTACAATTTAGAAATATAACGTTCATTTTGTTGCAGTTGCAATTTCAACGGTACATTCATTTGAAAACTTAATATAATCTACTTCATCAGAATTTAAATAAACTAGACTTTATTAGAGATGATTTTGAATACAAAGATTCTTAAAACCCCGTTTAAATTGCAACTGGCAACACATCAATAATATCTATAACCTATATTCATAATTTCGATAAAAAAAATATAACATCGACCTAATTCGAATTACAAATAAATGCTGCTGAGGTTGTATCACTACGTTTTAAAATAACATCCGATTATCGATTACCTACTTACATAAAATTATCGATACTAGTGTGGAGCCGAATACAATATCGATATAAAATTAAATCGCTTAGTATCAGTAGAATCGATATGTGTGAGAATATTGTCAGTGTGGCGTTAGGCCATTGGGTACAAAAATAACGCACAGCGCTTATAACAAGCATAGTAAGAGAAACTACTCATAATGAAACACAAGAGATGAGATTATTCATTGGTTAAACTACACATATTTTGTTTCCACATGTAACGCTGTGATACGTACATAATTTATTATACTATAATATCAATCTGAGTCCAACTATTACATTTTAAGGCTATTTAAATATCATTATTATTATTACAGCATAAAAAACGAATTTATCTTTATTCTAAAATATGTTTTGTGTCGTTTACATTGTGATTATTTTGCAACGAGACATAAAAAATCTAACAGAAAAAATTATTTATATTCCGTCTAAGAGGAAAATAATCACAACAGACAGGTTACAGAAGCGAGACAAAATTAGTTCCCTTCGCATCCCATTCTCTCAAATCACAATAAAGTATAATTTAAACGGAACCTTATAATAATAATATTTTTTTTCATTAAGAATACGTTTCAATCACTAACAACATTAGGTATAATTTTGCTTGATTAACTCGTGTGCAAAACTTAAGACTAATTTAGTACGATACGGGTATGCGTGGCAGTAGAATGTACTGAGGACGATAATTTAGCAGCTGTAACAAACACCCTATATATTGAGTACTAGCTGCGCCTGCAACGTATCGAGAAAGCGTCTGATATGAGAGGCAAAACCACATGGAGACTACTTTGTCACTCAGCGGCCAAAACAAAAAAATCGTTGGCTAAGACCAGCAAATGTGACGTGTTAACAACATACTTAACTTTATCGTCTCACCATAAAGTCGTTTTATGACTGCATGGCTGCATAAAGACTGGCAACCGACTGCCAAATACATATATAGAAACATATCAAAACAAGTTTATGAGTGATAGATTGGTCTCATGAGTTTGGGTGTGAGGTGTGTATGAAATTAAATGATAGTAGACCAAAAGTGAGAAAATTCCCATTTAAAAAATCAATAATTTTATTGCCTCTAGCAACCTCGGTCAGTTGTCCAAGCATACCCGTACATTTGAATGCAAAATTAACATCTAGCGTTTCGTTTAAAATATTCAAAATAAACAATATATAATATAATATCATTATAATTGAGTAAGTATATAAAGAAAACTCTCACAACATCACATTAGATGGCAGTCGCTTTATGTAATGGCAGATTTAATACTTGCGTTCAAACGTTATGTAATTTATGCTCACAAGTCTAGTTATATATAGGTACTCCACATTTAATTGGTCAAATTTATCCTTAACATCGACAACTCAATTTGGGGCCACAGATAAATTCTAGCATCAATACAATCTTATGAAATTTTTGCATGACCAGCATTAGGTTCAGCTAAAAAACAAGGACGGCAAAATAAAGTTTAAATTTCATTAAACAAATTAAAATAAAAAAAAATCTGGTTCTTACTCAATAAAAAAAACCTATTATTTATTTAAATAAAAAAATGTTAATAAAGGTCAGCCGGACATCCCACGGAATTTCACTCAGATTGAACACTGAGTGATTTATACATAAGTATTCTAGCATATGAGCTGACGCTGTATTAGTGCCGCGATCCAACTCTATAAGGTGGGATGTCACTGTTATTTACTCAATAAATAAATTAGATGTTGCGTGGTCGCCAATTTAAATCATTGTGTGAGCATGAACATTGTACATCACATAAAATTATGTTGTAGCAACTTCTCAGTTATATAAACTTATGTATTATTTGTTTAAAAGAATTACAGAAATTTCCCAGAAACAAAATATCCACTATCATCTAATTTCCCTTGACACATACTACAATAAAAATGTGGTCATGTCAGCGTATCCTCAACCATCATACAGCCTTAACGTACATTTCTCACTCCGATATACATATACAATATAATATATAAATCACTACAATTGGGGCTTTTTATATAAATATAAACAATTCTATAAGAATCTTGTACAAATTATAAAATCTTGGAGACCGTCCGTACAACACGTAGCCATAATGTTGGGAAAATAAAAATATGAAGTGGCTTTGTTGTATACTAGATACTGAACAAATGCTTGAAGTGTAGATGGTTGTTGTACGTCCGGTCTAAGTGACAAGTTAGAAGGTATCGCGGCGACACCCAATAGAAGCGTTTCACAAAAAATGTACTCGACGACGAGCACACGACATTAATATCCTTTAGAACGTTGAGTGGCTCTAGTCTGTACAATAATGCATTCGTACTTTTTTCCTACAATTGGGATTATAAGTAAGCTGCTTCCTTAGGTTATTTATACACATTATTGTAACGACTGTAAGCCAGTACCGTACAAATCGGTTACAAAGTATAACCTACACGTGTTACGTTACTTTAGAATTAATTTATTACGTGGATTATGTTGCTCTGTACCTTCACTGAAGCGTCTTTGTGCTATTTTGCTCAATTGTTTTCACTGGGCGATTTTATACTGGCTTGGAGGCTTGCCAATTTTAGGTAATTACGAGAAAATTCGTTAAAAATTAAAGTGTTTTATTACAGGAAAATTTTCAACACCCATTATAACTTGATTCATGTTACCAAAATGTTAACAATTTAGCGTTTTATGTTTTTTAACGCACTAGTAATTATTATTATAAATGAAATCAGTAACTATATGAACCGCCAGTAATGACATGGAACATAGCGGAGGGCGCCATCGCTTGTGCTGTCTACGATTCATCACACACAAAGCGCATACATGTCTGGCTAAACTACAAACTATAAAAATAAATAGACAAACATCAATAATATAGGAATATACTATAAGCAGGGCGGGTGGCACGCGTCACGAGCCACGCCCACCAGCTAAGTTAAAACATAGAGAATCTTCTTCTACACATTGTCGCCTCGTAAGACCGTGCGATATGCTTGGTCGTCGCCATCCAAATAATAGGTCTTTACTTATGAAATTGCCGTTCCATCATAGTCATTTACTAGGTGAGAATTCTTATATCCATCAAGAAATTTGACCTTAAGTAGAGTAAGATCTGTTATAGTTCTGTTTCTATCGCATAAAACATGGCAATTTCATAGCTAAAGTACCGTAAAATATAAAAAATAGTTTTAAAAATAAATGCAAAGTACCACAAAGACGCAGGTGTGGGTGAGAGGGCGCGGCGCAGGCGACTAGCTCGGCGGCTGGGGGTCGGTGCTGACTATGACCTGCACCACGTACCCGGCCGTGATCTTAGCTTCCTCCACCAGCAGTCGGTCGCCCAGGAGTTTACCGCCGTAGAACCAGCGCTGCCGCCACGGCTCGATGTTCTCTTGAGCCTGGAGTTTGTAAAAAAATACTTATTAATAATATATTATTCTATTAATAAACGTCGTTCTTCAAATGGGCCGGCTCGACCATAGTGACACTGTAAATTGGCGTGAAACATTGCATGCTTTGTGTTTCGTCGCGTAAGTCACATTACCGGAGGCCTTTATTTGTCAGGGGAAAATCATCAATTGACTTCTCCCGCCCAGGGTGAAACGAGTGAGAGTGTCAGACTCTTACTAACTAAAAACCCCCCGTTCCTTCTCCTGCTCTGGGCCGAGGCCGCGGTGACTCATTGCGCTTAACCCGCAACCACGGCTGAACATCAGCTCTATACGGCCCCGTATTATCGGAGGCCTAGCCTTAGACCTTTCCTTCCTTATTCCCTAATCCTTCTATCCTCAAATCCTTAAGGTAACGCATTTATAGCAATTCTAGTGCAGGGGTCCGTGAGCGGTGCCGACTGCTTACCATAAAGTGATCCGTCTGCTGTCGTTTGCTGACTTATACAAAGCTTAATAGAATTAGGTACTTCTTTGTAGTCCTTTAAGGGATACGTATAATCAAGAATAAACTCGTTTGTCATATTCTCATGAATTCCCATTATCCCACTATTTTCTCATAAAAAATACATTATTTACATGACATAAATGTCCTAAAAACCATTGCAACATTTCTAAAAGTCATATACTCAGTACAGTTCTTACACAAATAAAAAAATCGTTAGTATTTACATAGAAAGAATAAATAAAATGCGTAGTTATTGTGAGTCTAAGGGCGGACAATTTTGATAAATTTCGTATACAAATAACGTCGGCCATCGCGTACATAATGTAACTTGAATGATTGATTGTCTAGCAATTTGTTACTGACATATTTGGTCTTTGATCGACAATCATTACTGTGTGCTTGAATTATGAGCTATAATTTATTTTTGTGAGTAGGTACATAACCGTTTATTACGTTTTTATGTTATTTTTTTGAGTCGCTTATATAAATCATCATCTGAAATCTGTCAGAATATCTTTGAGTAAGGGTAACACCCTGAACAGAGTGCTTTGGTTATGTGATTGAACACAATAATATCATGACAGAAAAAGAAAAAAAAAAGGATCGTAGTAGGTGATTATCAAAAGGGTTTCAAACGCTTACACTTCACTTGAAGAGCGTCCGAGAATAAAATGTCATAAAATTGGCCGAAAATGTAGGTATTTTTTTTTATGTAATAGGTCGGCAAACGAGCAGACGGATTACCTGATGGTAAGCAATCAGCGCCGCCCATGGACACCCGCAACGGAGGAGTTACGAGTGCGTTGCCGACCTTTTAGGGATTAGGGATTTGGAGATTTAGGAACTAGGGAAGGATTGGGCCTCCGGTAACCTCACTCACACGGCGAAACACAACTCTTTGGTTCTTTCACGCCGGTTTTCTGTGAGGCCGTGGTATCACTCCGGTCGAGCCGACCCATGATTCGTGCCGAAGCATGGCTCTCCCACACTTAAATAAACCAATAAATAAATAAAAGTAATGTTTGGGCCAAACTCGAAGACAGCATGTCCATTGTACAACATTGGGATACTTTTATTATCAGAACCTACCTGCTACGAATTACGAGTGCTATGACTCATCAACGCAGGAAGGAAGTCTAGGCCAGATTTCACGACAGTATGTCGAGTAACAGTAAATATTTTTTGTGGGTCTATTATGTAAGGTTTGATTAGCGCACAAAGAGAAAGCTTAGTTTACTCTAAATAAAAGGCGGCACGAGGATAAGTATTACGAAAACAGTCGCTTTTAGATTATTCAGTAACTACTATTAGCTTTTGTTCGCGACTGTTCGCGTGGAATAGTGAATTCCTGCAGATTTTTGGTTTTAAAACTATCCTATGTCCTTTCTCGAGTTCCAAACTATGTCTGCTGTACCAGATTTTGCACAAATGGGTTCAGTAGTTTAGGCGTGAAGAAAAGACAGGCAGACAGACAGGCAAGAGAAAGTTAGTTTCATTTTAATAGGTACCATCTACGTAATACATAGCTTACAAGTGAAATAAAACCTTGTGAAAGAGCCGGAAAGCTAGCCAAATAAGTGAAATGACCTTGGCCGTCAGCCAAGTAACATTAACAAAATAAATGGTCAAAAGCGCCCATTAGCCACCACGTGCCTCACGGCTTCGTACGAAGAGAAAGCACAATGCTTTAAAACATTATGCCTAGCCATAGTAGCCATACTGCTAGTAGGTCAGCGGTACAGGTAATTGTCCCGGCGTCCGAAATTATTGTAAGCCATTAAACAGGTGACTGCGACCTTTGTGAGTGCTTGTAAAGGCTTGAACATCAGGGTTGCACTACTGACATCTTAACAATTACAGAATATGTATTTTTCTATGTGATAAGACGACAAACGAGTAGACGGATTACCTAATGGTAAGCAATCAGCGCCGCCCATGGACTCCCGCGACAACAGAGGAGCTACGAGTGCGTTGCCTACCTTTTCGGGATTAGTTATTTGGAGATTTAGGGACTGGGGGGTGGGGAAAGATTGTGCCTACGGTAACCTCACTCACACGGCGAAACACAACGCTATGGTTATTCCACCGATTTTCTGTGAAGCCGAGGTATCACTCCGGTCAAGCTGACCCATTCGAGGTGAAGTATAGCACACTTGTATTATTAGTTTTAGGCACATATTTGATAAGTAGTTGCCCAAATTGTACTGCAAATATCGTCGAAAAATACTTGAGTTCGAAAAAGTTGCTTTTGTTCAAGGTCTGAATAAAAATACATGCATGTATCAGATCAGGAAATGTAGATATCGGTTCACAATTGATATAAGGCAATTAACAAATCAATAAAACGTACTCCTATTATTTTATGATGGATACTCGATGTTTCTAGGTTATTTAGATAATTAGGAATAGTGTACAAACACTAAAAACATGAGTAATACGAATGGCACAATTGTGACAGTTTGTTGACATGGAAGAATATTTGCCATTACATCTATAAATGCGTAAATAGATCTCAGTTTCCTTTGTATAAAGTATCACGCGTGAACGGCTAGGCCGATTCCAATAACCCATTTTCTATGAGTTACTATCAAGAGAAGGTACTTATGAAAGCGAATTTTAGAAAGTAGAGGGGATAATTCCATATTAGCAGTCCTATCGATGTTTAGGTAGTTCTATAATAAAACAAATGACTGACGCCGCATCAGACACACGAAGCAAAGCAGGGGTAGCGCTAGATGCTAAATGAAATTTAATACAGAGATAATTACAACTTTTATGGTAAACAGAACGCTTCTCAATTAGAAACTAATATAGGTACTTACTTAGGTTTACTTAGGTTTTTGAGCATGGTTTTGTTTTCAAAAGCTTTCAATTTGGGGAGTATTGTTCAGGTTGGTATTTGCAGATTAGATCAGATCATTGGCAGTTTTATATAGACAGTAGCATAATTGGCAGCCCTATGTTTTAAAGTACTTACGTAGCGGTGTGCGAAGGCACGCCGACAGCGTATGGTTGCAAAATTTCGCAGGGTATGCAAACTGTTACGTCATCAATTGACCGTGTTTAAAGCGGGGCTCGCTTACTCGCTATGCACAAGCACAATACATATATTTTTATAATATAGCGCCATAGAAGTCGTAAAATCACCAGTTGAAATGTATATTCTTACACTTTTACAAAGTTTAGTACCTATGTTTCTAAGGGAGGTCAGTTATTTTCTTTGAGAAGGGAAATTCATCTAATGACTTCTTCCAGGGTGAGGCGAGAGGTAGTGCCAGACTGAGTACTGAGTAAAAAAACACCCTATTCATTCTCCTGCTGCTGGCCGAGGTCGCGGTACCATATTGCGCTTGTAACATACCTAATTTTTAAATATATATTTACGGTTTAAAACAACGCAATAAACCTCGAATCCCTTACTGTATAAGGAGTAAAGAAACCGTAAATGTCAAGTACCACAAACATGCGGTTAACTGTATTTACACCGGTATTTATTTTGTCAAGAGCAGAAGAGGTCATGTTACCAAAACATTAAAACTGCATTTTCAATTTTAGTACAATAATAAAATATTGTTACAAAACAAGTGCGTTGCCTTAGCAGGAATTTGCTAACGATGACTTCATTATTATTTTTTGCTTTATAAACAATTTTAGAGTGCATTTCCTCGTATTAGAGATCATATACTCAATGCTGATGTGCTTGCTGACTTTGATCTTATAACTATAAGAACTGTTTTGTATATAAAAATATTTATTTTTACAATAAAATTCGTCCATTGTAATAGCAACCGTATTGAGTATAGACTTTTCTGTTAGTCTTAGAAGATTAAAAACGGTGCGCGGTGATTGGATCTACTTTTTGGTTACGCATAGAGTAGATACAAGTTTATGCAACAAATCTTACAGAGTGCGCTGTTCTTGATATAATGTTAATTCAAGCCTTTGCTTTGCATATTTAGTACAATTTTCCGCACCCAAAGAATTGTGTTTACATCTCAAACGATGCTAATAAAGTCGATCGCGTCACACATTTACAACTCGATATGGCACTATTCAATAATATTTATAAATGATTCATAAGGTCAAGTGGAATTGCAGTTCAAATTATATTGGTTTAATATTGTGGACGACCAATTTAGATACATATAGTCCTTGATTCTACAGAGAATTGTCAAATGTAGTTAAGGAAATTCAGAAATGATCCGGCAGTTGACTTCAGTCGCCTTACTTAGAGAACAGTGCATTGTATTGTCAATACAATAGGATTACACTGCCATATTCAGAAGATACATATCCTGTTACTATTTAGGTTAAGAGTAGAAACTATATACCTATATGTCTAAGTATACTCTCAGCATAGTAATACTTCTTAGATATAGGTACATAGTAGTAATTCTTCAACAAGCTATAAAGATAACACTTAATGTTTTCTAAATACTCATTGAAAACCGCTAATTAGGAGGTGTTAACTTCATAAGCATTAACAAAGTAATAACCAATCATAATCAAGGATAATTATAACAAGGTTGCGTGGAAATATGCTCTGCAATGTTTCATAAAAATGCAACATACTTATTGGTATTGTGTCAATAAACTGAGTGTTCTCACAATGCTGAGGATGCAATTAATATATTTTAAAAACAGACTACGAAATAAAATTTTATGGCTGAATGTGTTGCATAAATCTCGAGAACAGCTAAATCGATTTCGATAATACGAAATAAAGATATTTTAAAGAGAAAAATCGGAAAATAGCAACCCTTCCAATGTCATGGCGGTACTCTAACACACCGTGGGAGTGGAACACACGTGTGAAGCAGGGGCGGGTCGCTAGTGAATCATAAAATTGCGACAGTAATTTATTTTATATAGTTCATGAATCAGCAAATACTCGCGTAATAATACTTCGCAACTTCTACTATCCATCCTAAGGTGGCTGGAAGAAATTGCTTTTAGCGATAACACCAACCATTGTGCATTTTAGTTGTTTATTTTATATTTCAGTATTATATAGTGATATTTATGGTGTATTCATAACTGACATGACAAGATTTGATTACATTGATGCTAGTCATGTACTAATGTGGGTAATAAAATAAGTATTATTAAAATAAAATAGTTACTACTTACATGTAATTTGTTTTTGCACTGTGATATAGTGTGCCTAGAGTAGACGGCCAGGTCCACATCCTTACAAGTGTTGGAGAGCCGAAGACGAAGGGACACCTCCGTACCACCTTCAACTGGCTCTGACCACTCCGCCGGAGAATCTCTGCCACTTGCCTCCTTCACCATATTTATGGGTGGCGACAAACAGTATATTGGAACCTAGTGATAATGCAAAACAACTTTTATTTACTTTGGGAAAAAGTCTAATTTGAAACTCAATTCTCAAAGTGCGTGGACAGAGCTTTGAAGCTTGAAATATTATTTTAATTTATAACTTATACATAATTAAACATGTATGCTCTTCAGGCACTGTCACTTTCAACAAAAAGATAGGCAGAACAGTGTATGTATAATGTGACAAGTTCTAGATAACATATTATATCTTATACACAAATTAATTTCTCCGAGCTACACATTGCAAGTGACTGTAGTTGATATGAAAGCTGATGACCAGAACTAGATGTTTATGAACTGATATAACACATAACCAGGTCAACAGGTCACCTCTCATATTATTTCTTCTTGAGACAACATTTAAACCAGTTATTCTCTTGTGCAAACATTATGAATATTTAAATAGAATAATACATTATTATTACGTGGCTGCAAGGTTGTTTTTAGGATGGCAGGTAAATTCTAAGTCACTTTTATTGGACTAATTTAAATTTGTAATCAATTTCAATTGTTTTGAATGAATTCAATTGAAGACAAATGCCTAATAAGACAGCTATTAATCAAATTCACAACTCTTGTATTTAGGGAATATAATAAGTATGATATCTGGTAAGTCCAACAGGTTGTTGCACCTGCTGTATTGAACTTGTAGCACCTTTACTTACATAGTATTATTCATAAATACCACAAGAATTTAGTAATGTTAGAAATGTAATCAATGAATATTGTACTTTTTAGCCGGTGTTATCATTTGAATTGGTATTACCATTAAATAACTGGGCCCAGAATAAAATATAATGCCATACAATAAAGCTGTTGGGCTCTGATGCATGCATATTGTGTTATGTTATTCTCCCATAATCATATTCAAATATACACAAAATCCTTTGAGGAAAATCTAATGTTTGATGATAAAGGTTTCACCAATATTTTGGTATGGGTTCTCTACATTACAATTGAATACATTAATGATCAATATAACCACATAGTAAGGAAATTGAAGATCAAAACATTGCAACTGGGGATAGTTTAGTTTTAGCAAAAGGTGTACCTGATATCTTGTGCCCCATTCATCATAGCACTCAGTAAGGTAACCATTGGGGACTGAGACACTGGCGCCATCAAGTATTGCCTGTGCGAGCTGGAAGTCCATCGCCTCTGCAGCGACGGCGGCCGCCCGCAGCGCGTCCCAAATCTCTTTGCGTCCTTCGAACGCCGGCGCTGTGTCCCAAAACTCATCTCTTTTGCTACGTAACTGGCCTTCTGTCAATGGCACGTCCGATTTCCACCTTATGGTCTCGTGGCACAACGACTGATTCTTCCTCAGCCCGCCTACAACAAAGAGTTATAAGAACACGCACTCGATGTCTCCACGGAGACAGATGATCGCTTACCCCACCTGAATTAGGCCGAGACACGGTAGCTGAAGACTCTTCTATAGGCCCGCTACCACTTCTAGTTATTCCTATGCACCCTCCCATAATGATCACATTCTACAATTGCTCATTTAACAAATATTTACAAAAAAATTATTAACAAATAACATTTTTATCTTCTGTACGCTTCTGTCAAAAAAGATTAGCTGTATATGTTTTATTGTTGCTTCGAAAGGTCGCGTGTGATTTATACACGTTTGTGGCAAAGTTAAAAAATATACTAATAATATGTTTCAGTATTTTTTATTTACGACCACAGAATATTCCGGAAACAATATTAAATATTAGAGAGGATCCCAAATTATTCCTAATACGGTTATTTTAAGACATTTTTGCTTGTTAATTGATTGTAAACAAAACGTACTGAAGATTACGATACGAATGTCCCCGACCTATTTTTGATAGTGGTAATTTTTAGTTCTAAAAGAGTTCTCACTTTTCGTTTGAGAAACTATAGAATAAAAATTGAATATTTTAAATAAGTGTTTTATTCTCAGTTATCTCACAAATTAGAAATACTATTTTAAACCTGTAAAAATAGACTGTGTACTAAATACTGAATAATTTCGACTGAGTTGAAATATTAAGACGACTTTTATTTAAGGAAAAACAACACGTTCATCGATATGTTGAATTATCTGACAATTCGCTCAAAGCTGTCAATTGTCAAAATTGACAAGAAAAAGATTGTTTACATACATTTGGGATTGTGAATTTAGCCAGTAAAATACAAGAAATTTACGGTGCTTAACAATGAATTCGGTTCATTATAATATAGAAGACTACAGAGTAATTACGGTTAGTATTTTGTACTCTAATTCGGCGAGGTCAATTTGCTAGATTAAATGATAAGCGATTGTAATATAATTTATCAACAGGCCCCAGAGACCGCGTATTACATATCTGAATTCATATCAGAAGCTGAAGAAAAGGCAATTTTATCAAATATTTACGCGTCACCGAAGCCAAAATGGACACAACTTTCAAATAGACGATTGCAAAACTGGGGCGGAATACCTCACGCCAACGGCATGATAGCGGAGACAATACCGCACTGGCTTGATAAATACCTTGAGAAAATTCATAGGTTGAACGTTATGGATGGTAAAAGGCCAAACCATGTCTTAGTAAATGAGTATCTGCCTGGGCAAGGCATCATGCCACATGTGGACGGATCTTTATTTTATCCTACTATTACTACAATATCAGCAGGCTCCCACATTGTGTTGAATTTCCTTGAACCAGCTGATGATAACACTATAAACAGAACTCCAGTGTTCTCATTTTTATTGGAACCAAGAAGTTTGTTAATATTGCAGGACAGATTATACACACATTATTTGCACTGCATTGAGGAGTTGAAAGAGGACTTGTTGGATGGGTCAATTGTCAACATAAATATGTGTTCTGACAAATATGTTAGAAATGCAACTGTGATTAGAGACACAAGGATATCACTTACTATAAGACATGTACCAAAAACAAGTTCTTTTAAAATTCATCTCGGGAATAGAAGATAGATGTTTTTTATTTAGATTAAATAAAAAAAATTATGTGACTTTTATAGCGAGTAATGCTAGAGTACCTGCAAACTGTATTTTTGAATAGTTTATTCATAAACTGGACTATGAATTTCTTTATGACATACTATGATTACTTGCAAAAAATTAATGTATTTGTCTTTTATCACAACAACATAGTGAAACTATGAGTGTGCTCCAATTATTCATAAAAGGTTACATGTGGAAGTACTGGCAGGCACAAAAATTCCACATTCAAACATTATTTTTGCATACAAATCTAGTTGGTTTATATTTTTATATTAATAAATTAAAGAATGTTTTTACACAATTATATTTGATTTTTTTTACAAAATGAAAATAACAAAATTATTTACGAGTGCCAAGTTATTAGAGAGAAATGTAATTTATTTTGGGAATGCTAAAAAATATTGTTGTGCACCTACTAAAACAAAATCGGAGCCTGTAAAAGAAGTTTCCGCTAGCAAGGTAAGTTGGTATCTCAATATACAGAAGCTTAATATATTAAGAAAAAGTATTTAGTCTAGTAATGAGAAATTTTTACAGAAAGGTCTAGTGGTGGGTGTATATCAAAATAAGAACAAATTTGAACTTACACCAATTGCTGAAGAAATCAACCAGAAGTGTGGTGACAAGATCACACAGCATTTAAACAAGTAAGTAACAAGAATAACATGAAAATATTTAAACCTCAATACACATATTTATAAAAGAAAAACATACATCTGGCTGGCATTATTGCTTGAAGGATTAGGTATAGATGTATATATTAAATGCAGTTACCTAACGTCTTCTTAATGACCCCATGTTAATTAAAGGGATAAGATTATAGCGTCACAAAAAATCCGCACTACAAGTTTATTCTTTCGACCTAAGTGAAATAATTTGCCATGGGTACCACAGCCTCCCAGAATACCGTCCTAAAACATCTATAACGTTTTTTTAGTCGTGTTTGCAGGATTACCGGAGGTCTTTTCCTCCCCCGTCTATTCTCAATCCTCAAATCCCTTATCATCAAAAAGCCGGAAACACACTTACAACTACGGTTCATGAACACCCTCATGAGCGGCGCCGGTTGCTTACCATGTCACACATCATCAGCCTATAAGTGCCCACTACTGGGCAAAGGCCTCTTCACACATGGAGTAGGTTTGAGCATTCGTCAAAACGCTTGCTCAAGGCGGATTAATGATTTCAAACTTTTAGGTACCTAATCAAAAATAACGTTTTAAGTGTGGGAGAGCCATGCTTCGGCACGAATCATGGGTCGGCTCGACCGGAATGATACCACGGCCTCACAGAAAACCGGCGTGAAAGAACCACTGCGTTGTGTTTCGCCGTGTGAGTGAGGTTATCGGAGGCCCAATCCTTCCCCTTCCCCAATCCATCCTCAATCCCTAAATCTCCAAATCCCTAATCCCTAAAAGGTCGGCAACGCACTCGTAACTCCTCCGTTGCGAGTGTCCATGGGCGGCGCTGATTGCTTACCATCAGGTAATCCGTCTGCTCGTTTGCCGACCTATTACATAAAAAAAAAAAAAAACATGTCCAGGTTTCCTCACGATGTTTTCCTTCACCGTTTTTGAAAGTGTCTAAATACAGTTAGAAAGTACATATGACTTAGAAACAGTCACATCAGTACCTAAGTTTCTCATGCATGAGAAGCGAGTGTCTTAACCTCCGGGCCACCAATAAAAACAACCAATACTTTATTAGACTCCAAATTAGAAATCAATAGCGCATTCTTTTATATAAAAAATGAATTGAAACTAAGTTATAAATATTTTCCTGATACAGTGATAAGTATCTACTTCAAGTAGCAATGTGAGTTCCAATGGTTTATCACGAATGTTACAGCATATCCGGAGAGCTGCAGTTAGGTAAGGCGTTCTCACTAACGGACGTGCTGCCCGAGTACTCTGCTATAGCGATCACCTCCTTTGGACCTAAGGATGCTTGCTACAACAGTCTTGAAACACTCGATGAATCCAGGGTAGGTAACAACCACCTTAGTTTCTTCATTGTACGAAATTACATTAAGTTTCTTGACAGTTTTTTCGTCTATTGTAATTGATTGGACTTTGAACTCTTACAGGGAATTTAAAACATCTAAATACCTTCTTTGCATAACTTACGTCATTACACGAATCATTGTACTGTTAAGAGCAAGCATGCTATTTATATTAATTAAACTACTAATTTCGCTAACCCGCTAGACGTTTTACTAGTGTTGACGCAATGCTTGCCACGCGACGACGCGGCGATAACGTGTGTCAGCGCGGCGTCTACGCTGCGCAAACGCGATGTTGACATCAACGCTAGTGAAATGTCCAAGTAGTGGGCTAGCGGCCTTAGTATTTATTCCGACGTATCTGCTTGATAAAGTTTTTTGTGTTTTAATATAGGAGAACATTCGCTGGGGCGTGGGTGCGGGCGTGAAGCTGTTGAAGTACCGCGGCTGTGGCGTCATTGAGGTGGACCCGGCGCACGCGCCTGACGCCGCCGCCGAGGCAGCCGAGCTCGCGGCTTGGAAGTAAATCTATATACTTACTTACAAGTTACACCTACCGTAGGTACATCTTGCAGTTACATTAAAAGGAGTATAAGCACGCAATATAGGTACCAACTCTTGAAACCAGTGGAAACAGAGAAAAATGCCATAATAGCAGATTTTATTGTTGCTACACTAAAAATGTTATTGTGTATACTAACTTTTAAACTTTCGCGTTTCATCTTAACAACATTATATTTACGCGGGTATTAACGCGGAAAATTATAATTTGAATACCTTGGTAGGCTTGACGCAGACTGGCCGTCTGGCCGTCTGCTTGTGACCACGACCTGTGCAACCGGGTCGAAACGTCAAGCCTACCAAGGTATTCAAATTATAATTTTCCGCGTTAATACCCGCGTAAATATAATGATGTTATTGTGTGTTTACATACAAATTCTACACATCACACTTAGACACGGAACATAAATTTGTATTGTAGATGAAGTTCAAGCAGAAATATCTATCAACCAATAAAGGTTCTACGCATACGTAGGTATCTAAAGTCATTTTTCACCACGTGAAAAATGACTTTTATACCCGATGAACAGAGTAACATAACCTTCCTAAAGGCTAAAAAATAAACAGCACTTTGTAACTTCTTGATAATATTTTTTTTTATTTATTTATTTGAACTTCATGCACAATGAGTACATAGGCGGACTTAATGCCTAAGGCATTTTCTACCAGTCAGGTGCAGCAGTACCAGTCAAACCTTAGGTGATGCAGAGATGAGCCAATGGTCAGTGCAAGAAGCAAGCAAACGGCTTAATTTTAAATCTGTTATGACATACGAGATAGATGTATATATGTGCGTATTATTAACGTACAAGTATAAATATATAATAGATAATAAATGTATTCTTTGTTTTATATGTTTGTATCTACCTATAGACTTTATTGATTCTATCACTAATTATAGAAAATATAGCAAGCAGATAGAACAATAGCAAAATTTTGCGTAAATACATAGGCTTCCATATGTACAACTATGTAGTATAATCACACTCTAGCAACATAATTAAACTTGTTCAGCAATTTAACAGCTGATAGGAGTTTGATCAGCCTTTCAGAAATTAGGAGTTAGACTCGAAGCGTACCTACACTCAGTCTCCTTTAAAAATATTTTCATCTTTAGGTTCGACAGGTTCAAGACGACAGGATCCCGTAAAGCCGCGTGTCACGTCAAGTTGTACGGGAATGAGGCCAAGGAGCTATGGACGCTGGGTTCTATCCAGGGCGAGGCACAGAACTGGGCGCGGTACCTGTCTGACATGCCCGCTAATAAGATGACGCCCGTTGACTTAGCACAGGTTTCTATATATTTCATCATCAGCCTATAAGTACCCACTGCTGAGCAAAGTCCTCTTCTCACAAGGAGAACGTTTGAGCATTAGGTAATGACCGCGCTTACTCAAGGCGGATTGGCGATTTCATACTTATAATTAGAAATATTATAAGTTTTTTTATGGTAAGTAGGTATAAGTCGGCAAACGAGCAGACGGATTACCTGATGGTAAGCAATCGGCGCCGCCCATGGACACCCGCAACCCCAAAGGAGTTACGAGTGCGTTGCCGTCCTTTTGGGGATAGGGGTTGCGGAAATAAGGATCGGGAAGGGATAGGGGAAGGGGCGGGATTGGGCCTCCGGTAACCTCACTCACACAGCGAAACACAACGTTGTGGTTGTTTCAAAAATTTCTAATAATGCTTTAACTGACCTATTGCATTGAATCAGAGACTCTTTAACAACTACTCCTATTCACACATTTCAATTGTATCATCTGATATACAGATATCAGGCTAAGTGCCCTGTCTGTAAGCAGCTATACTTCTTAGTTTAGTTTTTTATTAAAGTAAAAAAGTCACATACACGTGGCACCCAGATCCGAAACAATAAATTGCGAATTATAAAAACAACACACGAGTTCTTTTCGGGAACCGAACTTGCGACACGTTGCGCGACAGCCCATATAGATGGGACAACTAGGGCTGATGTCCTGTAGGGGTTGCGGGGGTAAGTACAATAATGTGCCTAAAAGAAATGGGATTGCGTAAGTCAAGATTCTGACACACCTTTTCGTCACACATAGGGCAGAAGAAGGCAAATGAAGAATATCCTCCATCAAAAAAAAAAAAAAAATGTGATGATGAATATGTTTCCAGGCGGCCATAGACGTGCTGTGCCCGCTGGGTGTGACCGTGGAGGCTCACGACCGCGAATGGATCGAGGCGCAGCGCATGCGCGCCTTCCTGGCCGTCGCGCAGGGCTCCTGCGACACGCCCATGTTCCTCGAATGCACATACCGGGCGGCCGCATCCGATGCCCCCACCGCCGCGCCTGTACTGCTGGCCGCCAAAGGAGTCACTTTCGACAGGTACAACTGCCCAATCTTACGGCTCAAGCAAGGCATAAAGCTGCTGACTCGATATAAGTTGGCTGGATCCCGGTGACTATTTTCTTAATGCACGTTATTACTTATATCTAAATGGGGTCAACTGAAGTGTGCATACACTTTACGATTTTTTACGGATTGACAGATGTGTACCTAATAGGTATGTACCATATCCAGCAAATATTTCAAACTACCAATTTTAAGTAGGGATGTGAAATGAAGAACTATTTACTTGTAGCTGTTATAAGTACCTACTAATCATCTCTGATTTTATTTATTTATATATATATAACGTACAGTCAGCTCCAAAAGTCGATGAACAGAATCAACTTTCCAAAACACCTGTTCACAATAAAATGCCATAAGTTATAGTCACAACTAGGAAACAAAATAGCCTGTACATCAGAAATTTACAAAAGTCGTTAAACACGACTAATTCAAAAGTATGTGTGCACTATAGTATTCCTAAAGTCGCTGTACACCATCAATCCAAATGTCGCTGAACATCATTTTTATCAAAAGTCAGTAAACAGCAGAAAAGTCAAATTTAGGTTAACAAAGTATATTTTTAATGTTGCACTGTGTTAATATAATTTCGACGCTTATGCTGTTCAGCTACTTTTGGGACAGTGTAACTTAATAATGTTTATTAACACGTTAGTATCTTTTTCAATACTTATTTAAAAATTAATAATATTTTTAACCGACTAAAAAAAGGTGGAGGTTCTCAATTCGTCGGGTTTTTTTTTGATGTTAACCGATTACTTAAGGCATCTGGACCGATTTGGATTTTTTTTTTTTGTTCAGTAGGGTATGGTTTCCAGGTTGTCCCATGTTCACCAGGTCAAGATCTGATGATGGAAACCCAGAAAAATCGAGTGGAAATTTAAAATTTTATAGGGACAGTCGGCATGATTCGTATATTTTCTGCAGTTATTCAGGTACCTATTTACGTCAACTTGTCGATGGTTGAACTCGACCTGATGATGATGAAACCGAAAGACAGTCGAGGGATTTCCTTGACTATTTGGAGTAATTGCCTTGTGTTTGGGCTTGAATAATTCTTCTTGGTGAGCACTTTGCACCAAGACTGGTAATGACTGTCACTAGGGGTCTGATGATGACAACGAAGGACAGCTCAGGGAACGCCTGAACGGTTTCCAGTAACTACCTCGTGTTTAGAATTAATTCATTTATATCAAAACTTCGCACTTACATGAGTTACAATGAAGTTATGTAGTAAATCTGATGATGGAGCCGGAAGACCGTAGAGGGATTTCATATTTCATATTTATTTATTTGCATACCATAATGTTACAATGATGTTAAGGGCTTAAATCTAGGTACATATTATGGACCCTGATAGGGCATAGCAAAAAAAGGTATACATAAGTTTAATAACATTACATATAATTAGGTACAATAATAGGTATTTATATCAAATTATTTATATATTAATTAATAATTAGACTATCTTTTTATCATCCAGATATTCTTTGACGCTATAGTAGCATTTGCTTAGAAGGAGCTTTTTGAGTTTATTGGCAAATAAATGTGTGATTATCGACTGGGGTGCAAGGTGTGATCTCTTGTGACTATTTGGAGTAATTATTTTGTGTTTGGGGTGGAATGATTCGTATTGATGAGCACTTTACACCTATATAGAATTTGTAACTATGTTGAAGGTCTACAGTATACATTATGATGGAGACCATTGACAGTCGAGGGCATTCCTCAACAATTTACAGAACTGAACACAGAGGACTACTACTATTACCGCGATTTTTGGTCTCAAGTAGCCGTCGTCTTCTCATTCGAAACGCATTATCCTTGCTTGCTCTGCATATCACTTAAAATGGCGAAATAAAATAATTTTTAACAAAAAAATTAACTTTCTGTGTACAAGGAAATGCATGTTTTCATTTAGGTAAATAGAAAATAATATTAATAACTATTTTTATAATCTCGAAGTCGGTGCCAATTAAGTGCCAGGTACCAAGTAAAACAATGATGATTACTGGGTACCGATCAATACACGTTTCTAATACCTACTGTTGTTGTTTGGTATGTTGTGCATTTACTTGGCACCTACTGCGAGATTATAAAAATAGTTATTATTATTATTTTCTATTTACTTAAATGAAAAAAAACAAACGACTTCAAAAAGTAAACACAAACATAAAAAATAAATTTTCTGTGTACAAAGTTGTCTACTTCGTAGATTGTTAAGAGTGATGTTTATGTTATTTCATATTATATTTTAGTATGATTACTGACAATAGGAATTAAGTTCAAACACGAAGTAGTTACTATAATCCGTTCAGGAGTTCCCTGTCCTTCGTTCTCATCATCAGACCCTTAATGACAGTTACAACCAAGCCTGGTGCAAAGTGCCAATACGAATCATTAAAGCTCAAACACAAGGCAACTACTCCAAATAGTCAAGGAGATCCCTCGACTGTCTTCCAGCTCCAACATAAGGTCGACTTCGACCTTCGTCAAGTTATAGTGTTGTAAAAGACCTACTTAAACATCATACAAAAGAACTACTCGCCCCTGCAATTATTGAAAGTCCCCCTCGATTTCTCCATAATTTCATCATCAGATTCTGACCTCATGACAATGGGACCAAATGGCAAGTAAACCCTATCAAATAAAAAAATAATTTTGCAAATCGGTCCAGTCGTCTTCGAGTAATCGGTGTACATACATAACAAAAATAGGCATCGAATTGAGCACTTACCCCTTTTTTGAAGTCGGTTAAAAATATAATTGATGTGTAAATAAGTATTGAAATGGATACTTACGTGTTAAAATACATTATTAAGGTCTAGCGAGCACTGTCCCAAAAGTAGCTGAACAACATAAGCGTCAAAATTATATTAACACAGTGCAACATTAAAAATATACTTTGTTAACCTAATTTAGACTTTTCTGCTGTTTACTGACTTTTGATAAAAATGATGTTCAGCGACATTTGGATTGATGGTGTACAGCGACTTTAGGAATACTATAGTGCACACATACTTTTGAATTAGTCGTGTTTAACGACTTTTGTAAATTTCTGATGTACAGGCTATTTTGTTTTGTAGTTGTGACTATAACTTATGGCATTTTATTGTGAACAGGTGTTTTGGAAAGTTGATTCTGTTCATCGACTTTTGGAGCTGACTGTACATACTTTATTGCACACATACACGAAGTAGCAATACATTGAAAACTATGAAAGAACATTGTGATTATGTACAATGGGCGGCCTTATCACACTATAATTTTCTTTTTTTATTAGCCGTTTTCGTCTCATTGCAAAGGCCTCCCTACCCTCCTTCCACTCCTCTCGACACAAAGCTTTCTGCGGCCAATCCCCTTCGAAGACATCAAGTTTATAATTTCCTTACTCCAATAAAATATTATTTGACTTGATAAAGCTGTCTAAGTTACTAATTACAAGTCATTGTTCCCTCAAGTTGCATTACGCAAACAGGATTTAAAACTACAATGGCGCCATCTACTAAGCTTAAAAACTGACTGTTAAATTACTCGCAGCGGTGGTCTGTGCCTGAAGGACTGTGAGATGATGATGCACAACCGCGGCAGTATGGCCGGCGCCGCCGTCGTACTCGCCGCTATGAAGGTCATTGCTAAACTTAAGGTACTTTACCATATTTCTAGTTTTATAGCCATGCCACAGCACGATCGGCCGCACAGTGCATCGTGCAAGAATCGAACTAGCAGCGAATATTTGTTGTATTTCTTTTAAACTACGATGTGTGTTAGAGCAGACCCAGTTAGAGTAGTTAAGTAAGAGTCGATAGAGAGAGATAGGCTAATATAGAGATAAGACTAATACGAATACGCTACTATGAAATCCTAGGTACCTAATTTTATTTGTGTTTCAGTTGCCGATAAATGTGTCGGCAGTGATTCCCATCTGTGAGAACATGGTGAGCGGACAGTGCATGAAGGTTGGAGACGTCGTCAGGGCGCTCAACGGCATGTCCATCCAGGTGGGGAAATGATACAATATTCTGTCGTTTTGAACATAATTATGCACGTGATTATTTACGCGACTCGGCGACCGTCGCGCTGCTACAGTAGCAGCGCGACGGTCGCCGAGTCGCGTGTCGCGGTATGCTGCTCATGAATATGGGCCTCTAGCATGGCTTGAAACTAGTCGAGTATCTCGTCAAATTATTACGTGAGTAAGCCGAAAACATAATAAATAATTTAGAATGTCTCACGAAAGTTATAATAAAAATTATGCTCGTGATTTAAATGTTGTGTTATGGTTGATTTATTATTTCAATCTATAGCTATATCATTAACTTTGGCTTAACAACTCAAGTGTGCACACACACATACCTATAAGTACTTAATACTGAGCAAGGGTTCTATGACACGGGGGAGGTTTGAGCATCAGCACAATTTCTCAAGGCTGATTGATGCTTCAGATAAGTTCAGGTTTTACAATCAGCCTTTATTGAGTTTTCGTTCAGTTTATCAATGGTGTCTAATTAAACTAAGACGGCCTTATAAAACTACTACAAAACAAGGTTTTACTTTAGTCTAGGACTAAACCATTGAGCCAGTTTTCGTATTTCGAGATGACAATAAGATTCAAAATTCAAAACCCGACTTAATGGTTTAAATCTGGACTAAAGATAAACATTGTTTTGTAATAAGGGGGAGAAAGTTCAAAACCTGGCAAGCCAATACGTACTAGGTATTAGGACAATTTTAATTAGGTATTATTTTTTATTTTATTAAATATCTGCTAACAACACCATCTAGGGACGAGAGGAGGAACTATTAGTTTTTGTAACTCGATAAAATATTTTACCTGCATACAATTTTACTTTCAGATAGAGAATACTGACATGGAGGGCCGGTTAATGATGGCGGATGCGCTGGTGTATGGCCAATCGGTGTACAAACCCGCAATCGTCATTGATGTAGCTACTTTCACTCGTATGTATACCTAATTATAATAATTATGCCGCGTGTTTGAATGCAATCTGACTGTTTGAGCTCCATGTGAAATGTTAGTTGCAACAACGGGTTCAATTAATTCATATTTATTCGGGGTTAATTATATTCATATTTGTTCATATGATGGGGCAGCAAACAAGCAGACGGATTATCTGATGGTTAGCAATCAGCGCCGCCCATGGACACCCAGATTAGGGTTTTAGAAATTTTGGGATTGGGGATGGGAGGGATTAGGTTTCCGGTAAACTCACTCATATGGCGAAACAACGCTGTGATTGTTACACGCCGGTTATCTATGAGGCCGTGGTATCACTCCGGTCGAGCCAACCCATTTGTGCCGAAGCATGGCTCTCCCACATTTATTTCATTTCATAATATTTAGAGCAGAGGGAATAAGTAGAGGTTCATCTATAGGTCACTATACCTCATTATTCTTGATTTGGACTTCTTTTGCGCTTACTTCAACCCTCGTAAGCTGTCATTTGAAAGGTAGCCAATGGTTCTTAGGAGCGTTATTTACGCGATGAGCATGCGTTCTTCGTACAGCATTCGGATGCATTGCCCATTGCACGCGCAAATGTATGAAAAACGTACGACGCACTGCACGGTCGCGGCCAACACGGCCTCGGTGTTACAGATGTTTATAAGTAAGTATTTTACGTTTCTAGGGCTTTGAGGTTTTATAGCTTCTGCTCTTATAAATAAAAAATGCCTAGCCCTACCCTGGGCGGGAGATCGTTGGATGATTTACCCTGACAAAAAAAGCACCTGTTTCTGGCAATTTGTAGTATTCATGATCCAGCAGAACAGTTTTATCTTTTATCTGTGCTATTTAGTTTTAATATTTGTCAGGTTGTAGCATTATGAACAAACAAAGAATGAAACAAACTAGAATGTTTTTATATAATTTGCAGACGGAGTGCTGATGGCCACTGGTGGCGGTGCGTTCGGTTGCTTCAGTAACTCGGAGGAGGCGTGGCGCGCCGTGCAGGCGGCCGGGGCCGACACGGGCGACCGCGCCTGGCGGTTCCCACTCTGGAACTACTTCCACAAGCAGATCACCAGTCAGTCACTTGTTGCACCCGCTGATAAATAATAGGTCTTTAACTATGAAATTGCCGTTTTGCATGAAAAAATTTAAACGAATTTTTTAATTTGAAATGCGAGGATAATGTAACACTAATCAATAAACAAATGACTACTTTTGGGAAAAGAATCCCATGTTTTAAAAACAAAATTAATTAGCCTTAGCCTAACAAAAACTATTTTGATTTGAAATGGCCAGTACTGCAGAACAGCAATTTCATAGGTAAAGACCTATTATATTACCTACTTTTAAATAACTTTAAAACATTCGACAGTCGCCGCACTAATTATTATAAGCCACTAAAACTAGTATCTAGATAACTCTCTTGAAAGAACTAGATAGAAAACGAAAAAACTCTGATATACCTATAGTCAGACTTTTAATTCGATTCCTGATTTGACATTGACCACTGTCATTTTGTGAAATAATGATACCACATATAACAGTGTAGTGATGAACACAAAAATCGATAAACAATTAGTGAATCAGTTTCAGGAAGGCATTCAAAAAATTACGGCTACCGAATGGTCTAAATGTGTATCCCATGTTTTCAAAGAGGAGGAAAAAATTAGTAAGCTAGATATGTTAATTGACAATAAATATCAAAGACACAATTCATAATAAATGTTACATAGAGTAACGGCGATAGCGATAGCGATGACGGCGACAATTTATAAAATGTCTGTTTTATTTTTGTCACGTTCCTTCATGATCGCATTTTTTATTAATTTCACACAAAATTACAAAAGAAAAGTCTTAGATCGTTAATTAATTGTCAAAACTAAATTATCGGTTCAGAAATATTTTATTTCCTGATAAACTTAGTTTACGAGAGTAAATTTTGAGAGAGATCGGTCAACAAATCGCTCGACTCGCCAGCGCGCCGTGATTGGTCCGCGGCATCTTTTGACACACCGACCGCCCGCACGCAGGACATCGGCTCGCGTGGCGACAGTTACCTTCGGGACGTCAAATAGTTATTGCGTGTGCTATTTTAATTATTCGATGTATTTCGTCCTTTGAATGTCTTTGTTAAATAAATATCACAAACAATAAATTTTTGTCTTTTAACTCAGAAGTGGGACGAATTTAAGTTTTGTGTGAAGTGCTGTGTAAGTGTAAGTAGGCATTTATCATGGGCTCGCATAAAAAGAAGAAAGAAAAAAGTGAAAGCAAGTTGCGACGCCGGCTTTTGGCCGAAATGGAAAATTGTCGCTTGTTAAAACGTGTGTCATTACTCGAAAAGTACATTGGTGCATCGGCATCGGCGCCGTTGGAGGGAAGCGCGCCAACAGCTCCGTTACCAACGAGCGGTGACACCGACGATGGTATTAGGACACCTCCGCTACCTTATCGACAAGAAGCGCCAGACCAGACAGACAAGCACAGACCGTGATCGAGCGAAACAAGGCGCCGCCGCCGCCGCCGCTACCAAGCGTCG